CCGTTCCTATTGACACTCAGTCCGTTCCTGTTGATCAACCTGAGCTAGTCCAGCCTGAGCCAAACATTCAGTCCGAATCCATAGAACCTTAAACCGAGCCTCATACACCCAAGTCACAAGAGATGATAAAGGGAAAGCAAATTCAAGACTCTACTCGTCCACTGTTGGTTTTTCCAAGAAGAAGGGCACCAATCACTCAATCTATGCAGGTTCAATCACTCAAATCAACCTATGCTCTTGGACTTAGCGAGGTAATTACTGAACCTATTTCTAATGAATATGGTGTCACTGAAGTTCTTGATCAAAGTGATTATGATATTCCCATTGCTATTAGAAAGAAAACTAGAGCATGCACTAAACACCCTCTATGCTTATTCATGTCATACAAGAATCTGTCCCATAACCACAAAGCCTTTCTCACAAGCCTAAACACAATCTCCATTCCCAAAACCATATCCGAGGCATTAGGTAATGAGAATTGGAAGAATGCCGTGAAGGTCGAAATGGAAGCACTTGAGAAGAACAAGACATGGAACTTGGTGAAATTGCCGAGAGGGAAGAAACCAGTGAGATGTAGATGGGTATTCACAGTGAAATACAAGTTAGATGGTTCGTTGGAGAGGTACAAAGCAAGGTTAGTTGCTAAAGATTATACCCAAACATATGGAATAGATTATCTTGAGACATTTGCTCCTGTTGCGAAGATGAACACCGTTAGAGTGTTGTTGTCATTGGCTGCTAATCTGGGCTGGAAATTACAGCAATTCGATGTCAAAAATGCCTTTTTACATGGTGATCTCAAGGAGGAGGTTTATATGGAAGTTCCATCGGGGTTTGGTTCGAATACAGGACAGGTGGTATGCAAGTTAAGAAAGGCGTTGTACGGATTAAAACAGTCTCCAAGAGCTTGGTTTGGAAGGTTTGCCAAGGTAATGTTCGATATGGGATACAAACAGAGCCAAGGCGATCACACCTTGTTTGTAAAGCACTCGGCTTCAGTGGGAGTGACTGCATTGTTAGTCTATATAGACAACATTATAGTGACAGGTGATGATTTGGAAGGAATGGAGAATTTAAAGAAGTGTTTAGTGAAAGAATTCGAAATCAAAGAGCTCGACAAACTAAAGTATTTTCTCGGCATTGAGGTAGCACATTCTCGGGAAGGAATTTTCATATTTCAGCAAAAATATGTTACATATTGGCTGATGGAAACAGGCAAGTTAGGTTGCAGACCAGCAGAGACGCCTATAGAGTTCAACCACAGGCTTGGAGATGCTCTGGAAGACACGGCAGTAGATAAAGGCTTCTATCAGAGACTTATGGGAAGGCTTATCTACTTGTCACACACTAGACCAGACATAGCCTATGCAGTTAGTGTTGTAAGTCAATTCATGCACAATCCCAAAGAGTTACATCTTAGGGCTGTGTATCGAATCCTACAGTACTTAAAAGGCACACCGGGCAAAGGAATTCTATTTAAGAAGGGGGAGGAGCTAACTCTTGAAGCCTACACTGATGCAGATTATGCAGGGTCTGTAATTGACAGGAGATCTACCTCAGGTTATTGCACTTTTCTAGGAGGCAACCTTGCGACTTGGAGGAGTAAAAAATAGAATGTTATGGCAAGATCCAGTGCAGAAGCCGAGTTTAGAGCAATGGCACTTGGGATTTGCGAATTATTATGGCTAAAAATTGTCTTAGAAGATCCAAGAGTCAAGTGGGAAGGTCCAATGAAGCTTTATTGTGACAATAAATCAGCCATTAATATTGCACATTATCCAGTGCAACACGACAGTACGAAGCACATTGAAGTTGACAGGCACTTTATAAAGGAGAAGCTTGACAGTGGCCTAATTTGCACTCCATTCATTTCCACTAGCAATCAACTTGCAGACATACTCACCAAAGGATTGTCTGGAACATTTTTTCAGAGACTAGCAAGCAAGCTTGGAATGGATGATATCTATTCACCAGCTTGAGAGGGAGTGTGGAAAATTCGGTTCTATAAATAAGGAAACCGTGTGTGTATAGCTGTAATTAGCTAAGAAAACCGTGTGTGTATAGCTGTAATTAGCTAGGAGATTTTGTAATGTTTTAGTCATTGTAATCCCTGATTTTAGGGAATTAGTTTTTGGTCAATATCTCTAGGATTGGACAGTTTCCTAGTTTTAGAGTTTCCTAATTTAGATCCTCTGAAGTGTATATAACAGTATAATTTCATTGTGATTTCAATACAATTGAATTTCAGCCCAATTTGTGTCAATGATTGCATTGCTGATGGTTATATATTAGTATATCCTAAGTGACCTAGTTGATAAGAATGCTAGATTGGAAGAATTTAAAGCATTAAAAAAAATCATATGATCCATATCATCTAGTGAAACGAAGAGAGTACAAGGACAAAGTGTCTCATAATATCATCGTAAGAAGTATTTGTTTTCAAATGAATCATAGCATAGAGGTAACGATTTAAGTATGGTTTTGAACAATTCAGTGTTTAAAAAAAAAAAATCGTAAAATATCTTCAGGTGGCTGGTTTGGTAACTTTTAGCCAAAAGCTTTTAGCTTTATCATTTAATCTTTGAGGTCAACTTAGCATTTTTTTTTTTAACTAATGGAGCATATTGGTGAGTTAAGCTATGTGGACTTGAATTTTAATTTAAGTTGGATCTGATAGAGATGCATTTGAGTCTTGGAGAAGTTAATGGTTTGAGAAAGTAAAATCTATTTTGGTTATTTCTATGAATGGTGGTTATTTCAGGTGCTGTGGGGAGCGGGGTGTGACAAATGCTATCAGAGCCCTTGGTTTGATTACCTTAGGACATTGGGTAAAGGTTTGGACCTCGGATACCTTGGGAGTTTAGGTGTCTTAGAGATATAAATTGTCCCATTTGAGGCAAATGATCATGTCAGAGGTGGGATTTTGCAAAGGAATGTATTATAAGTTGAAGAATTGAAGACTAGTTGGACACCATTACAACTGAAAAAGCAGGATCTTGGATTGACCTGTTGTGGTAGAAGGAGCTGTAATTGGATATCTTTTCTGTGCAACAGACAATTGATGATTATATTAGATGATCTTTTTTATCGGTTTGAAAATGTAAGGAAAAAAGAAATGAACGAACTTGTTATAGCTTTTTGTCTGACCAATGTTAGGTTGAAAGTTCCAGTTCTCTCATTTTGCAACTGCTTAGATTTCTCTTGGCTTGCAAGCTCAGGGAGATTGATTTTTAGAGGTTCTAAAAGTATGACTTACATTGAGTTGTCCGCAGGGGACCAAATTCAGTTTGAGAATGCTAGTCATAAGCGAATCTGCCATAATCAAGTTACTTGTTGCTGGTGAAAATTTAGAGGAGGTTGAAGTAATTTATGCCTCGAGTTGTAGTTTGCCAGGGGAAATCCCTAGTGGTATTGGGAGATTTTCCTCTTTGTAAAATCTTGTGATTTTGTTTTACAAATATTTAGTTCCTACCAACAAGTATTTGTGGGCTATGTCGTTTCGAAAACCCTTGATTTGCTGGGCTGCAAAGTACTACAATCGCTGCTATATCTTCCTCCTAGTTCCAAGTCTTCACAACCTGATGAGTTTGAAGATATTGCACCAATTTTTTTTTTTTTTTTTTTTCCTGAATTGGTTTTTTATTTTATTGATACAAATAACACAATACAGTACAAAAGAAGAAGTGACCAAGGAAGATCACCAAGAGAGCATTAGTCTAGGGCATACATACCCCAGACTAGAAAAACAACAGAAAAGAAAATACATCAGACAACTGCATCAAGAACTAAATACATCAGACAACTAAGAAGAATGTCAAAACAAAAGCCATCCCAACCGGACCTTCAAAAACATAAGATGAAGATGCTGGATGGATAGCCCAACAGAAGCAAGGCCTTCAAAACATGCCTCAGTAGCCAGGTGCTGAGGAGAATGGGTAGGTACCATCATGAAGCCTTCAGTTCCTCTCATTCCCAATGCACCAGAGGATAGTGGTGAAAAAACACCTTTTCAATTTACTTTTCATAGAGTTTCGCTTTGTATCTTGCTTTGTTTGTAATTATGAAAACAGTTTTCTGTTCTCAGAAAATTGAAAACTCTTGGTTCAGTTTTGTGAAAACTGTTTTGTGAAAACTCAGTTATAAAAAGGTCTGCATTTGGAGAACAGTTTTTTATAGTTTTCTGAAAACTATTCTCTATTTTCTGAGTTTCTGAGAACTGTTTTCAGAGTTACAAATCGAGCATAAGTTCTTCAATTCTCCCCACTTGCAGAGCTGTGGCAAAGTCGCAACACCAAAACAGGTGATCTCTAGGAACTTGTTGAAACTGAAGTTTAGGTATGGAACTTGTTGAAACTGAAGACATTATTAGGGGTGATTTGAAATACATTAGCATAATTGCCGATATTGAATTGACATGTGACCTTTGACGTGGTTGTTATAATAAATAAATTTGAAGTGAAACTGCTCATTTATAGTTTGTCTGGTTTATAATTGAAAAGTTACTGGGAGCTTAGTTGTATCAACAATGTGATATTGAATTTATTTGAAGATTAAGGTTAAAACCTAGATTTACATGGAATGGAAAATAGTTATGATGATTTGCTGATTCATAGGATAATGATTTAGGAGTTGAGAGGTGTTGAGTTCTTTGAAGGAATTGAAGTTACTGGTTTTGTGTTTCTTGCTAAGGGCAGCCTCTAATGAACATAGTATGTATGGTTTGCTGGTGTTTGTATGGTAGTAACTCAGTTAGACAGGATGTATGATTTTTATAGTGGGTTGCTAATTCTGGTCTATTGTAGAAGTCTGAATATATATTCTTTTTTTACCCTCAAAAGGTCTCAAAGATTACATTTTTGCCCTCCCAGATTTTTTTATTTTTTGAAAATTGTATAACCGCCTCCAACAATCTTCAAAAGGGGTGCATACAAGTGTCATTTCCATTTTCATGGTGCTTTTCAAATAAAAATTAGTCATATAATCCATAACATGTGATAAAATTGAGCAAAATATTGTTTATTATACAAAAACTGCTGCTAAATCAAAATACTGTTTATACAAACCCACATGGCAATAACAGAATTGACAGTTTATTTAAACTATATTACAAAATGGTGTCGTATTGTAATATAGTTTAAATATTTCTTACCAAATTTTGAAATATGAGAAAATTGAAGAATAAAGAGGGATAAAAAAAAAAAAAAAAAATGGCAGACCCTACTTTAATATATGGGAGCCAATGTGGAGCAAGAAAAATATACTCTCTCTAAGCTGGATCATCTGTAATTCTTTTGTAACTGATAATAACTCTCTCTAAGCTGGATCATCTGTAATTCTTTTGTAACTGATGATATGTACAGTAATTTACACGAATCTCAGACCAGTATGAAACTCGTTCTTAGAGGCTTCAAAGGGCCTTCTGATCTACCCTCTCGTTCCAATTAAGGCAACGAACCAAGCTATGGAACCAATCGCCCGTTTGGTCAGACTTATTGACTGTGGGAAGTGGATGCTCGCTCATAGATATACGGACGGAATCTCCTCTTAGGAGTTGTTGTCTTCTCTTCCCATCAAACGACACCCATGCGTTACTCCGTCCATCCTCCGGGATCTGTTCAGATACAATATATTCTTTTAGAACCTCCAAAAGTGAAGAATATTGTCAACCACCATACAATCAAAGACTACGTTTTCAGCATTTCATTGTAAGTGTTAGAATATATTGTACAATAATATTGTTACCACGTATAGGTTTACCATATAGGGTTTATGATTATTTGCTCTCCGAACGTATCATCTCCTATATAAATCCCTATTCCTATTTATTTTTATATTATTCACATTAATACAACACAGAGTTCTATACTCTCTCTTATTTCTAACAATATGTATAAGCAAGCATAAAAAAAACACTTCTCACGAGTACCTAGACCAACTTAGATGTCCTAAATATGATACTTGCATCAAGGGTTTCTTTTCATTTTTTAACTTTACAACGATTCTTTAAATTTGCTTTAAACTAGTCAACTATTTAAATAACTAATTCAGGAAATTCGATTCCTCATATTTATAGTTGACATTGCTTCCCGTATATGTTTTTAAAGCCTATACTAGCTTTCTCAGTGATGACAATTATTCACAAGCAATGTACTTGCATTATGACTAGTTTCCCGGAAAGGGCGAGAAAGTTGCAAGTATATGCATCCCACTCGCCTTGTTCCACATGTCTGAGACGCTGGAAACGTCTTTTTCCTACTGCAGTTAATAATCTATGTGGAGCAATCAAATAAAAATAATACAGGAATCAAGAATCTATAATTGCTTGTAAAAATGGAGATATGAATCACCTTTAATTCAAGTCGTGCAGAATCTGGAAGAATGACAGGTCTGAATGAGAGGGAGTGCGGGCAGATTGGTGTAAAAAGCATGCAAGGAACGTTTGGATGCACCTGCATTCCGATGATCCGTTATTAGAAACATGAAGCCTTGATTATTTAAATGCAATATAAATCAACTACTACGTACTGACAGGAAAATATCAAGCTTCCAAAATTTTGTTACAGCATCAGATACGGTCTATATTTGAAAACTGAAATAAAACCCTCAACCCTCCAAATTAATCTCGTTCTTTCCTTAAGCTCATGTCCACACAGTACACAGAGAGCAGACTGGAAAATATCAAAAAACAAGACTATTTATAGAATCCGCAACAAGAAGGTTTTCCACTACCCTCTACTAGCATCTGTAGGTAAAGGTTCCATGGTTTAGTATACTCTTTACACGCAGTGCACCTAAATAGGAATTAGCAAATTTCTGTCTAAAAAATTATCCACCCTTGAACACTTTGTCTCCACAAAGCATCACAAAAAATAGGCCACTTTCGTAAAAACCTTAGCATTCACTAAGGGTACCAGGCCTTACTTCCCAAAGAAAGGTTAAGGGTCCAAAGGCATGCGTGTGTAAATCTAGGTCTTAACCTAATCTTGGATCCCTTGGATTTCTCACTTCTCATTCAATTAGGAAAAAAAAAAAAAAAAAATCCGAGCATTCCACACTTTTTCTAATAAGATATTAACCACCTTCTCAAAACCAAGACGGAAAAAAAAAAAAAAAAAAAAAATTATAAGAGGATTCCTCCAATATTTGTTCTCCAAACATCACATTGTTGACTCCCCCAGCTTAATTTTATGCCCAAAGTTCCAGTAAATAAACTATCCAGAAGCATCTCCTCTCCCGCCCCACATACACAAGTCTCAAGTAGACTCCAAACCTCAACAACCCTAAAATCAATAAGAAAAAAAGTTTAATATTTGTAGTTCTCATTGGATTCGTACTCCCTTTGGTACAATATCATTTTTGCTAACGTATAATTTTTCACCTTTACAGTCCCCATGTTCATATTTCTTTGGTCTCAAAATAAAGATTCCCCATTGATAAGAGCTCATCTCAAGAAATACTAGAAAATACTAAAACAAAGGAAAGAGGAATTAACTCCCTTTCAGCAACGGGTCCTATCTAAAATCAAGTAACAAAGCTGACTCCTTAAACTAACAAATTTATATGGTACCGCAAGCTCTACAAATACTTCTATGGCAATAAATTCAAAACTCAACAAGGCTAGCGTACCATGGAACCTCCGGCAGCTGTAGAGTAAGCTGTACTTCCAGTAGGCGTGGCAACTATGACTCCATCTCCTTGAACCTATCAAATAAATGATTGGCAATGTCATTAGGAAGTGAATGTTTTCCGCTATTTATAAGTTTCGATGAGAAAGTGGTTTGAAAATTAGAACAATCTGACTTTGCTATTAGCATTGCAAGCATGAGAGCAAGATTGACTCAGTTAGTCAGTTACATATATGAATGTAAAGGGCTTGGCTGAGGAATCATACCTTAGTTATAAGGCGGTCATGTTCATAACATTCAATTTTGGAGAGGTACGGATTAGAACCTCGGTCAACCACGATCTCATTTAGAACATCAAATACTTTCCCGGTCATAGCCTTTCCATTTCGAAAAATTTCACACCGAAGACGCATTCTAAGAGTTATATAAACACCATCCAGTGTGTTGTTCCCATGGATGACTTCTCTCAAGTCTTGCCTATAGTCTTTAAACTTCAGAAGAAAGATAAAGAGGAGTGAGGAGAAAGATCATTTGTAAAGAGGCAAAAGATTCTGTCATGAAAGTTCGAGTCAAGAAGCGTACGGAATGAGAAGTGAGAAATCCAAGGGATCCAAGATTAAATGATACAACAGGGGGAACAGCACCTCTAAATATATTTGAGGCATGAAGTATAACCCCGTCTCCTCCCAAGCAGGCGACAAAATCAACCCTCTCATGAAGATCACTGCAAAAGCACATTGGCTAAGGTTAGCAAAACTTTCAATACTTTTAACAAAATTAGAAAAATGCTTTTGCAATTGGATCTATGAGTTCTAGTACCTGGTATCCTGACTGTAGAAGGTTTGAACAAACCCAAAACCTGGGATTCTTGCTAATAAGTCATGTACATCAGGTTCAACAAGAACAATCATTTTCTCTTGGCGATACAAGAAAGAGGCAATCTGCATTTCAGATACAAAAATTTCTGTTCAATCGCTACACCAAACACGAATAACTTTACATGTATACATAATTGCTGATGAAGGAATGACACACAATTTCTTCAAGATACCACCAAGGGCTCAGCCCAACTATCTCCTCCTTCCAAACAGAAGGTTGAGTCCCCAGCCGGAAAAATTGATACGTGTGTGACTTACCTACCCCGACCAAGAAAAAAACAGCATATATAATTTAGTTACAGTAACCAAGGGCATTGCTCAAGCGGTATCTCCTCCCTCCTTCCAAATGGAAGGTTGAGAATTTGAGTTACCTAGGATAAGTGTGTGTGTGTGTGATGTACCTACTGAAAAAAGATCATGTCAACATTTCCAACTAGACATCCCCCTAGTGGAAAGGGCAAAAAATTCCAACAAGAAAATATATTCATATTCTTATATAAAATCATATAATAATCTTTCCAAACCTACAATCATGAAAGTGAGAACGGAATCACGCCTGGGACAGAGCATCCAACAGGGGAAAAATGAGAGATGGAATTAGACCAACAATGTATGTCAAGCTCTGTAGACATACGTCCTAGACTACAAAATAAATAATAGGGAAAACCATATAAAATCTCCCTCAACTTTCAAAATTTCGTAGATTACACATTTGAAATTTCATTTTGATACAAAACCCTCTTAAACTATTCTGAAATGCTGCCAATCACCCCCTGCCATTTGCGGACCGGAACATTATTGATGAAATTGTATACACGTGCAGAACACTTAATGTTTTTGGTCCTGAAATCTCTATAATACCCTTCTTTACTGACAAAAATGACCTTCGATAATTTTATATCCATCAATCGATCCATAATGTTACTATGAGTTATCTGTTTGGATCTAATAACCAACCCATTTTCATGCACATATATTCATCTATTGCAGCCAACCTGTAAATCGTGTTGGCATCCATGAGAGGGAGACTATGATAAACAGAGAACTGAAACTTAAGGGGAAACATGAAGATAACAACGACAAAAATACCACAATTGACCATACTATAGTAACAAAATATTGGAATATTTTGTTTGAGTTAATTATAAAATAAATATATAAAAAATGTAGCATGCTACCTCTTTAGCTTCTTCCAAGAGTTCTTGGCCCAATTTCTTCAACAATAATACAGTTTTTGGTGTAGATTTCCACATAAGCATCTGCTGCTGGGTGCTAGGATGCGAGAAAGCCAGTGAAGATTCTGTTACCTTTTCTCTGGTGCAGGAAAATCCATCTGTCCGAACTAAGAACATCTCTGCTTTCTTTCTTGACTGCACCCTCACGACACCGGTTGTGGAAGCACACATATTTCCTTCAATCATCCCCAACTCGTCGTCACCCGAAGTTGTGGAGTCTTCAGTGTTGCTCCTCTTCTCCTCTCTGACGGTTGTAGACACAACATGTTTATTTAATTCCTTTCTTACACTCTGAAGCTCATCTATTTCACTAATGGTATGACTTTCCCTTTTACCGGATCCATTCAAAGAGAGAGCAGAGGAAACATAACCATTACGACCTAGATATGTCCCATTACTAAATGGACGACTCTGAGGCTTTGAAGACTTCTTAGTGCTCAGTGATCCATTTGAACTCCCCGCTTCCATATGCCTTGATTCGGGACTGGTCTCAATGACTTCACTCTGCAGAATTGTCCCATTATAATTATTTCTCGAATCAGATAATGTCTCCAATCTTTTCCGCTCATAATTAAAGTAAGTGGGAGGTGAAATCTTCTTATTTCGGAAGAACCCGGACATCTGTTTTCTGGAGAAAACATTGCAAGGAGGTAGCTGGGACTCGAGAGGGTTCACTTCATTGCAGAACTCCATTAGAGATCCTACTTCATTATCGGCAAGTGTTTCTATTAATTTGATTTCTTGATGAGAGACAACGCCGTCAAAGGTCCCATTGCTGTTCTGATCTTTATTTTCTAAGACCGGATAGGCTTGTTTGGTAAACTCTAGAGCGGAACTATGAGTCTTACCCACTTTCTCTGTACCTTCTTTTAAGTTTGATGAGATGTCAAATTCTACCATTCGTCTTGTATCTCGTGGTATAATGTCAACCGGAGTGGCTGTGTGATTGGAGACAGACTGCAATGCATGGCGAGCCATGTACAGCCTCCATCTAGACACCATAGCAGAAGTTCTTTTCACTCCTTCCTTACTATGCAGATATATGGGCTTTTTGGTTGAATCCAACACTAATGCTGCAAATTTCTGGACCTGCTCCATTGAGGGCACAGCGCCAACTTCAACCGGAAGTTTGACCAGTTCAACTTTCCTCGACAAATTGGCACCATCTAATGCTGCTTGATAGAAATTATCCTTCACAATCTCTCCTCTGAGGTCTACGATCGTTTTAAATCCTTTCTCCATTAGCCACCCCAGACCTTCTTCTGTTACCTGGCCACCCTTCCAAAAAGCAATTTCGGAATCTGTAGATTCCTTGTCATCTTTTGAGGTAGACAAATAAACAGGATTCCAGTTTGCAAACAATGTATGACACGGATAACCATCCCTGCGGGGAAAGCCAGAATCATAGCAAACATTCTTCAGCCTCTGCAATTTACTCCATACCTCCAAGCTTCGAATATCATCAAGCATCAAATAGTTTTCGAGAGCAACATGTAAGCTCTCACAATACCTTTTCATCTCGCCCCTAAAAAGGGCAAGGGGCGGAAGCCTGTCCTCCATTACATTAACATCTGAAACGTCGTGAAATGCATTCATAATGGAAGATCTTCCCGAAATAACATCCTCTTTTCCTTTGTTCAGGAGACATATCATGCAACCAAGAACGGACACTAATTTGTCTTCCAATAATGGATTATCATCTGACACGCCATCATATGAAACACTGCACCTTCCGGTCAATGGATTGCAAAATGTGTCCATTAATGCATTATGAAGTTGTTCAGCGGCTCTAAAGATTCTGCAGTAAGCCTCAACTTCTGCAATATCCCCAGGAAGTGGGCCAATCCAAGGCGAGTTCGATGAGTCATGGAACTGGACAGTTCATATCCAAATAAAGCACTGTCAGTCTATAACGAAGAATAATCAACTCATAATCTCTTCCATCAGAAAAGATACAATAAAGCAATCTCAAATACTGAATAAAATGGAAAACATTTTACCGTAGCCTGAAATGGGTAGCAAAGAATGCAATAAGATGGGAAGATGCACAATAAATAATCTAAAAGAGTAAATTACTGAAGCCATATAACAATAAGCTCGAAGAACAATTTGAAGAATGTTTCAATCTTAAGCGCATATTAATTACATTAGCATATTTTTTCAAGAGGGGAGTGCTCCCAAAAGAATACACAAAACACCAAAGGCCACAACTAAAATATTAAGCTATCCACAAAATCCAAAAATCCCCCAACGATTTACAATTATGCCCGTTAACCCAAAAAACAATAAAGTATACAATATACTGTATTTGAGAGACGAAATAGGAGTGTCCTCAAAGCCACACTGTAAGGCAGCAGGCTCACCAAAAAAGCATAGTTTGACAACCAAACTTAATACAGTCAAGTTTGAGGGACAAACAATTTAAAATAATAAAATTGCAAAAAAAATAAAATAAAATAAAATAAAATGTAAAGTTAATTCAATTGAAAATATGCACTTTCCCATAAAAATAAAAATAAAAAAGGGTAATGCTAATCAATTCATCCCTTTTCAGTCTATAATAACCAGAACGATCATCTAATTGACATCCAATTCTGGAAAAGAGCTATAATAAATTGACTTCATTACAGTATACATGAGCTCTCTGTTTTTAAATTACAGTAGCTCACACATGCAAATCAAACTTTTGCCTTCCCTATCCTTTTACTGAATTTGACCAACCTGAACTGCCATCTTTGACCAACTCATATGATGTTGTTTAAAGTATTTTGATATGATTTTTTTTAACAGGAACACCATTGTAATACATGTCCCACCTCAAAAATAAATATACTATTAACATTTTCAAACTAACCTTCACATTTACTTGATTAAACAAGTGCACTAATTAGAATATCTTATCAAAGATAAATTTACTAATTGATTTATCATCAATACAATCAAAAAGTCTAAAAAACTACTAACATAAAAAGTTGGATTTCCAAATAAACTAAAATTTTGGGACGGAGGGGTAAGTGAGGTAAATAAAAAGTAACATAAAATTTTGGTTTTTTTCTTTTCTTTGGTAAAAAAGAATAATTCATCTACTAGTCACTTTAGACTTAATTAAACAAGTATACCAATTAGAGTATCCTTTAACAAAGATAAATTTGAAAATTGACTCGTTATCAATACAATAAAAAAAGTATTAAAAAAAACTAACATAAAGTTGGATTTCCAAAAAACCCAAATTTTGGGACATGGGGTAAAAAAAACCTAACATAAAAATTTGATTTTTTTTTTTTTTTTTTTTCCTTGGCAAAGAAGAATCAATCCACCCGCTTAGTCACTTTGGACTTTCAAATGGGTTGGACGCAACCGCTCACAAACTATCGACATCAGTTAAATCCAAACAGCCTTACCAGCTGAGCTGCCTTTCGGGGCTAAGAATTTGGTGATTTACTAGTCATTTAGTTAAACATATTGCTTCAACTATAGACACACAGTGACACACACACATATGTGTGTATAACTGTATATGTATGAACTATGAACATATATACAATACTAAGTAAATTCACATAATGTAGAGAAACGAGCAAATCACCTGAGGAGAGTCCGAACCATGTGAAACGGAAAAGGGTCTTGAAGACACCAAACTGACAACTGACCTAAGACGACGCCGTTCGAGCACTTTGATTTGTGATCTCTTGGTGTCCCTGAAATGGTGGAATTGGAAGCAGCAGAGATGATGGGTTGCTCCGGAGGCGGCAGCTGACCGGTTCCTGTAGGGGACGGACACGTGGCGTGAGCAAACACATGCCATGCCACCATGGAAATAGAAATAATTGCGGGTGTGTATACATATGTTTTATATATACATATGTTATATATATATATATATATATATCAATGTGTGTGTGGACCGTGGTGGTGTGTATGTGTTGGTTAATGTATGGTTGGTTTTGGATTTTTGAATGAGTAGAGAAATCTTTGTGGATAATCCTAAAATCGGTGGCTGAGTTTGTTTCGGCTGGTTGCTTTCCCATTTTATTTGTCTTTGATTTATTTGATTTGATGGTGATATTTATAGTGAACAAATTGACAAATAGTTCTTTAGCGTAGGAATTGTGGACTCTTGAGCAATATTATTGTGGATGAATTCATATTTAATTGGTTACTAATTCTAGAAGAATTTTTTTATTTATTGTTTCAATGAAAAATAATAATAAGAATAAAAATGACAGAAAGTAATAAATAAATAAAATATAAAAGAAAAGAAAATTAGATCTTCAATTTTTTGCTAAATAAAATTACTTTCTACTCCTTGATCTCTCACATGCTTTTAAAGTATTTAATTCGAGAAGAATCTATTTTTTTTTTGGTTTTTTCAATGAAAAATAATAATAAGAATAAAAATGACAGAAAGTAAAAAATAAATAAAATATAAAGAAAAGAAAATTAGATCTTCAATTTTTTGCTAAATAAAATTACTTTCTACTCCTCGTCTGATCTTTCACATGCTTTTAAATATTCAGGTTTTGAAATCCACAACACAACCTTAATCTTAGGACCTGTTTGGCATATGATGCGTTTTAGACATTATGTTTTTTTCAATACTAAAATAATCGTTTTGTTATAATAGTGTTTTGAATAGAAATCAAAACGAAAATTTATTTTAGTTTTTCCGTTATTATAGTACCAAAACACACAATATCATTAATTTGGTGATATGAATTTTGGTTAAAAAAATCAAATATATTATAAATTATTCCAAACCAATATTAACAGTTTCAAACATGATATGAGTCCAAATTTAAATACCAAATATTATAATACTTCCCAAACTGAATATTGTCAAGGATTTAATATTAGAATATTATTGCATTTAGATAAAAATATAATTAAAATTACACTTGAATCGTAGGTCATGTTTTACCCACTTTGGTGAATGTGGAAAACAAAACGTACCAAAATTTATTGAAACGTACCAAAATTTACTACTAGTGTTTAGGTAAATCAAACTCTATTGTCTCAATGGTGGTCTATATATAAAAAAAAAAAAAAAAAAAAATGTTCTCTATTTTCAATGGTGGGTTAGATAGGTTTCTTAATATATAGTCTTTAGTATTTTGAGTTAGAGTTTTGGAGAAGGAGGATATCTAATCTTAGCAACAAATAGATGATATTTATTTTTAGTATTATTTTTGGCAACAACTAAATGATATTTGATCTTCTTTACATGAATATATTAAACTTCCTTGAAAAGCTTGTAGATGAAATAGTGTACAGATTTTGGAATGCCTGAATTTACGGCAAAGGGGTCAACTGGGTAAGAGTATTCCATTTATTAAATGGATATGCTTGAATTTTTAAAGGATTGCTTAAGGTTGTGGGATAATTTAAAAGAAGCGTATAATGAATATTTTACGAAATCTTTTTTTTTTTTTTCAATAAATGTTATGAAATAAATAAATAGTTTACGTTTATATCTTCAATTGGCTTAAACTTTTGGGTGTCATATTCATAAATTGCTTGTTTAATATATAAATTTGTCTTTTATAATACAAAATGGTATAGTGGTAAATTAGTTAAAATAGTTTCTTTTTCTTTCTCCCCCAAACATGATTATTATCATTTCATTTTTTTTTTTCATTTTTTCATTAATTAATCAAACGCAACGTGAGGTTAACATTATCTTCTTCTTCTTCTTTTTTTTTTTTTTTTTTTTTTTTTTTTTTTAAACTAACGTTATCCTTTCTTTTCTTGAGCCTTAATGTCTGACATTATTGTTTAGAATTTAATGTTGTAGAGTTTATCATGCTATATATATGTATGTATATAATACATGTTTCTTTTGATCATAGTTTTTGTTGAAGAGACGAGGGCAACTCATACATCAAAGATGTAACACATTTTAACAAAAATATTTAACAACCCATCTATAGACTATAATCCAAATGTTAATCATTAATGTCACACTTATGTTACATAAGATACTTAAATTATTAATACAACACACATATGTTAACAACACAATTATATTATTAGTGCAACACATATTACATATGATATACAATACACTTTCTTCATTAATATAACACATTTACATCACACATTACATCACATACACATATGCGACACATTTATTCTTGTTTTTACATCGCTTATGAGTAATTGTGTTTATGAATAATTTAAAAAAAAAAAACTAGAAATAAATGTGTAAAATTGTATACACTACACTTAATGATTTATTAATTAATTAACTAAAACTTAAGAGTAGTATAAAAATAAGAATTTTAAATTTTAAACAAAACTATCATGTTTACCAGTCAGAAAAATCAGCCATAAGATTAGTAATAGATAACGTTAGAAATTTGAGACTTAGACTGCTGAAACATTTTGTAGACTTTTAAAAGGCACAAATAGATAGGATTGACTTCGTCTTTCCAAGGAAGTCTCTAATGAAACAAGTGTGTGTTATATATATATATATATATATATATATCTATCTGACTTATTCGTAATTTTCCTTTCAACATATGTAAATATCAAAAGTGAATGGGTTCCCTATTTCTTTCCCAACACTCCACTTAGGAGTGAGAACACATCTTTGGGTTAACCATTAAGTTTACTACAACTAGCACCAGCAACACATTCTTTTTCTTGCCAAACTAAGGGAGCCCATCCCGACATATGAAATGTTTAATCCGAATTGAACTCTAATCATACCTTCAACCTTAACTACTCAACTCGAACCCAACCTATCTTTCTACTTTTAAACTCGAACTTGTAACTCAGATTTAGATTTCGGGTTAATTCTATAATATGATTATGGATATCCGAATTAGTATAGCAATTATTGCTATACTAATTCGGATATCTGTAATCATATTATATAGAATTTGATATTATAGTATTGTGTAATCCTTGGTTGGTTGGTGTATCCCATAGATGGTTTGTGCTGTTTTGGTTTGTGCTACTTTGAATTACTCATATGACCAATTTGATTAAATTATTCTTAAACAAGAAAGTTTTAAAAACTTACTGCATTTTTTTAATAAATTACTAACAAATGCTTATAAAATTAATTCTTCTAAATATTAATATATAATAGATTAAGATTTAACAAAGAAAGTTGAAAAGAAAAGAATGGTCATAATTTGAATAATATATATAATGCATTTAAAATTAAAAATATATATATATAAATAATATTATAATTCAAGTTGTCACAACCCAAGCCCGACTCTAGTTAAGTTCTTGTTAACAATTTTGACCTAGACCCAACCTTAATTATAAAACTGATTGTCCAATCCTGCGAAAAAATAAATTGGGCTCGGATTGCCCAACTCAGGGAGGGGAAAACTCCAATATGGGCACACCCATCCCGCTTGGGGAGTTAAACGCTCGACTAACTAAGCCACTATATGATGCCCATTTACACAAACTCCTTTGATTATAGGATTTTAATATAACGAAAGAATCATTCTTATATTATATTCTGTTGTACGACTTTGAAGATAAAGAATAGTAGTACTTGTCATCTGTTCCAACACTACAATATAATTGAAACACAGAGATCTCTCATGCATTATACTACAGATCAGAAACCAAAAATAATCACTTTCCAAAATAAAACCAAAAATGAGTTGTGTCTGAGGCTTATCCCTCCCCACACTCTGACATGGTGCCTCATGAAACATAAGGTCTGAAATTCGGCTCCCACCGAGTGCAAATAATTCATTGGGGCTAAGCCTCTGCAGCCATACTCCACGATTTACCCGGCCAGGGGTGGAGAGGCATCTTTCCCGTGTCCTTGGAGATTAGTCGGGACAAAGCCCTGGATACCCTAGGTTAATCTAAAAAAAGGAAGAACCGATAGGTAATGATCTAAATTCCCTATTAAACTACAAAGATCACAATTATTGGCATTTGGCACATCTTAGGTCCAAAACAAAAAGTTAAAAAAGAGTGATTTACACAGAGTCCTTTGGTTATTTAACATTTTAGTACAATGAAAGAAACACTTTTATATGATGCACCGCTGCTGTTAAACTCTGAAAATAGAGAATACACTAGTTACTGTCTAGAGCTCCCAACCTACGTCCTGATCAAGACCATTCAATGCATATTCATTGCTTAAGCTCTGCGTCAAACGTTCGTTACCCTGGTCTCTCCAACAAAAACTCTCAGCGCTAAAGCAGAGGTATTTGGACTCCGTTGTGAAAGCATCAAATATTATTGAACAGAATCGATTCCTGCAAATCACTTTTCAAGTTTCTATACCTGAACAGTCCAACCATTTGCTTTGAATTTGCAAGAGTTCTTGTCCAGGAAAATGATGAAGCTAATACCATGGACGCCGTGTGGTTCAGATTGTTCAGTCAGCATCACCGAGTCCATCACTTCCATCCCCTCTCTTGGATATAGGTGCAAAATGAGAGTTAGGTTTCTTCTTTTGTGAAGCAATTTCAGCATTTTTTCTCAAGACAGCTCCCGGTGATGGGTAGGGGCGCTGCTGAAAGAGAGGACCCTGAAACCAAAGAAACAAGAAACAAATTAATTTGAAGCACGGATCTTCTTTGGGATGGTCAGTCAGTGAGCCTCAACTTGTTACAAAGACAGGCAGTCCATATATGTTCAGTTAGTGAATGTATATGGATGAAGAAGGAAAAGAATTATGATATTGACCATCAAACCGACATCCTAAATGCGGAAATACAGACAGATATATATATATATATGGAGATATCAAGTCAAAATTATTGTAAAAAGATAATGATGGAAATTAATATAGAACGTGGATTATTTTTATAACTCATTTGAACATTTTAAAAATAATAATAATAATAAAACCCCTATAATTAACATTTTGAGTCATTATATTGTAACAAACTGCGTGACTCCTAAATATGCACTGCTTAGAGTGCAAAAAGTAGGCATTTCACAATTTTTCCTGAACATCAATCCGTATAAAGTAAATACTATTCAACAATTTAAAAAGATTGAACACCTTGACAACTTGAATACTTCGTAAATGCAATTATATGGCGATGATTAAGCCATGACACATGACGTGGATAAATTTTAATATAAGACTTTTACATGGCTATGAAAATTTTGCATTCTCAAGTTCTTCGTAGCCTGAAGATGTAATAAGACCATATACAGACTGAGGAAATGGATTATGTAACACTAAAACATCTAAACATAATTTAATGTGTCATAAAGGGAACAATACTTCAATTGTGATACGAAACAGAAAAATGTGTGAAAATACATCAATGTGATATGAAGCAAAAGAAAGGTTGCTTGAAGCAACATGAATAAAGTATAAAACAGAGAAGGCGGGCACCTATCCGAAAACTTCTCTAAAAATTGAACAGTTATCCCCTTAAGGACATCTAATTTCTTACCGGGAGAGTTACATGGTTATATAGAAATACTAGGATATCCAATGAAAACGAGATCTTCACGGAAAAATTGCTAAAATGAAGTAACACCCCCATATTTATCTCAAACTCAAGATACCTACATATTCAAGATATTGAGTATCTCAATGATATTAGTGCACAAAAGGAGAAGAAAAGAGCATGAATCACTGGTATGTGCTATACTTGAAGTTCTGGGGAGAAAAGGAAACAAATAAATTTGGAGATGACATCAAGAAGCTCGAGTCATACAAGAATGCCACCAATTTGGGATTTATTATCCTATAGTTACTAGTTGCTTAGGGGGCATTGCCTAGTACAGTGGTAAATACTCGGGCTGTCCAGCGTGATAATGCAGTTCGAAACCTAAGGCAGCCACTTACTTTCTTTTGTTTTTAGGGGTTACCTCCTTTTTCTCTTGTACTTTTTATTTTTATTTTTATTGAAACAAACACATTTAGGGGGTAAAAAAAAAACCTGACCCGGCCACTTTTTGCAAATAATGCCAAAGGTTATGTCTCAATTAACGGGGACGAGGTACCACACTAGGTAATGACCTTTATAGTTATTAGTTAGTTAATCATGTTTGAGGCTGTCTGGACAATGAAAATAGAAAAATAACGTACAGGAGGGTCAAAATCCCAAAACAGTCTGGAAGTCATTGTAATACACTCAAGTCTATGCTGGATGACACAAAATCGCGAAGCTTGTTGAAAGAGAGAGAGTATATGTAAACGTATATCTTATTGAGTGAATAATACAATAAAACAATGGGGTTTATATAAGAGAAGCTACAGGAGTAGTTGAGTAGAGAACAAGTAAAGCCTATACATGGTAATGCTATATATGGTAATGAGGGTTAGGTGAAGGCGGCTACAGAATACAGAAAACTCTAGTAAACCCTAGAATACAATGTAATCTAACTGTACACATGTGACAGCTCATACTATACTTTACAACCCTCCCCCTCAAACTGGAGAGTAGATGTCAATAATTCCCAGCTTGCTACATATGAAAACAATATAGTTCTTGGGAAGTGCCTTAGTGAAGATGTCTGCCAGTCTGCTATGAGGAACAAAAGGTGTAACAATCTCATTCGAGTCAATTTTAAATCGAATAAAATGGCAATCGACTTCAATGTGTTTAGTTCTCTCATGATAGACTAGATTGATAGCAATACGAATAGCTGTCTGTCAAAATGGAGAGGAATTGGGTACAGAACTGAAATCCCAAGTTCCTGTAAAAAGGTCTTCAACCAAGTAAGATCACAGGCAATGTGCGCCATGACACGATACTCTGCTTTAGCACTGGAATGAGCCACAACTGACTGTTTCTTGCTCCTCCAAGTTACTAAAGTTCCTCCTATGAAGGTGCGGTAACTCGCGGTGGACAGTCGATCAGACGGAGAACCAGCCCAATTTGCATCCGTGTACCCCACAATCCGAAGATGTCCAGAAAATCAATAAAGTAGACCACATCCCGGTGCACCCTTGAGAAATTTCAAGATGCGTACAACTGCCTCCATGTGGGGTACCCGAGGACTGGTCATGAACTAGCTCACAACACTAACTGTATAAGAGATCTCTGCACGAGTGATTGTGAGGTAAGTAAGTTTACCTACAAGTCTCCGATACATCTTGGGATCATCGAGTGTGTCTCCATCATCGACCTTAAGTTTTACATTAGTCTCCATAGGTGTAGCTACAAGTTTCAAACCAAGATATCTAGTATCCTGTAAGAGATCAAAAGTATACTTTCGCTGATAGAGACTAAGCCTTACTTCGACCGAGCCACCCAATTCCTAGAAAATACCGAAGTTTGCCAAATTTCTTAGAAAGGAAGCTAGAACTGAAGTGATGGATTAAAATTTGTATTCCAAACCCAGGTGGAGCCATATAAATTGTCTCAATAAGGTCACCATGCAGAAAGACATTTTTAACATCAAGTTGATAAAGTAACCAATCCAGATTAGCTGCAAGAGAGATTATCACACGAACATAATCCAGTTTGGCCATAGAAGAGAACGTCTCAGTATAATCAAGGCCATAAGTCTGAGTGTAGCCTTTAGCAACAAGGCGAGTTTTGAGACGGTCAACACTACCACTTCTTTTTAACAATGAAAATCCATCGATAACCAACAACCTGAGTATCAAAAGGCTTAGGAACAAGGTACCAAGTATGATTCAATTTAAAGCATTTATTTCTTCTTCCATAGCTTTCCTCCACCCTGGATGAGAGTGCCTCCCTGTAGGACTTTGGAAGAGCAATAAAGGATAACGACAAAGAAAAAGCTTGAAAGGAGGAGGACAATTCATTATATGATACAAAATTAGTGATAGGGTGATTGGTACAAGATCTTTTACCTTTCCAAATAGCAATGGGTTGATCAATATTAGAGTCTGGAAAAATGAAAGAATCTCTAGGTGTTAAAGCGACTGGTGGAAGTGGCAAGACTGTGTTTACTACTTCAGTTGTAGGAACATGATTAACTACTCTTTTTGGCGACAAGCATAGGCATAGAGCTGGTGGGATGTCAGAATCAAAAACAAGAGTTGGAAGAACAGACTCTTGAAGAACAGAGTCCTCCAAACGATTGCCTTCCTGGGAATAATAAGGAACATCCTCAAAGAATGTTATATCTGCCCACACAAATTGTTTATGAAAAAAATGCATTTGTGGGGAGGAGGATCAAGTTTGTCTCGTTCAAGGGTCAGATTGTGAACAAAGCAAACACACCCAAACACTTTTAAAGGAATACAAAAAGGGTCTTTATCAGGAAACATCACTTGGAAAGGTGATTATCCTTGAAGAACCCTAAGAAGGCATATGATTTAAAATATATACAGCAACCAGAACCGCATCTACCCAAAAATGTTTTGGAACATGCATTTGAATTGTTAAGGCACGACCAATAGCTAGGAGTGGTCCATTCTTTCGTTCAACAATTCTATTTTATTAAGGGGTATCAACACAAGATGTTTGATGGATAATGCCCCTCCACTCAAGAAACTGTTGAAAAATATTAACTTTACATTCAAGGGCATTATCAGTTCTAATAACAAGTAATTGAGCTATTTTGAATTTCAGCATAAAAGGATTGAAAAACAAAGAACACTTGAAATCTATCTTTAAGGATATTTTAACAACCATCTACTCCAAAAGCTTAAGTTGTTAGAGAGAGTAACTTAAATATATAACTCTTTCAACACAGCCCCTCACGTGTGGCCTTCTTTTTTGGAACACAAGTTTCAATTTTAATTATCAGGGCGATGGTGAGGTTTGAACGCGAGACATTTTGGCTCGAATACCATGTTAACAACCATCTATTCCAAAAGCTTAAGTTGTTAGAGAGAGTGTAACTTAAATATATAGATCCTTAAACAATTATAAACTCAAGTTAAACGTGAATAATCATCAATAAATGACACAAGTATTGATGATTATATCATGTTGCTCAGTGGGAACAACAAAAGCAGAGTGGTTTCCCTTGTCAATCACATGGGCATGAATAGATGCTCTTCGAACTTAAGCAAAAGTCTCACTAGCTGTGGGTGTCTCCTTGCCAAAAAAATCCGTGAACTGATCTGAGTGAGTTCAGGTTCAAGTCTAGATAGAAATTTTGCCAACTGAAACTCCTCCCTGCGTCGTTTCTGTTATTCTATGTCTACAGTCAATGGTTGGTAGACATTCAATACTTCCCAAGTACCCTTCAGTTCTGAGTAATAATCTTCAACAGAACGATCTCCTAGCTCGAGATTAAATATGTCCTGGTACAACTAATAAATACGAGAAATATTCTTCTCTGAAGAATACATGTCCTTAGATTTTCCAAGATATCTTTGGAAAATTCTAGGAATGACACGTTGAATATCTCAGGTTCCAAGCTATTCCATAAACAAGTCATAATCTGAGCATCTTTTTTCTCCCAAGCCTCAATAATCTTTTTATTAGTGGTGGGGTTTGGTTGATCGAATAGGACTGTTTTCCTTAAGCCCGTAAGAATACCTCTACGGCTCGAGACCATTGAAGGTAGTTCAAGCCTCTCAGTTTGGAGTTAGTGATTGACCCAAGAAGATAAGAGTCCTTGGTATCCACAGGGGGGCTGTCGAACAAGAGATAGGAGCCAAGATGAGAGAACCAAGATCAAGTCGAGATGAACCCAAGAGAGATTGCCGAGACGAGAACCGAGATCACCGAGGAGAGATTGCCGATAAGAGATCACTGAGAGAGCCGAGATGGAATCGAGATCGAAGTCTGAATAAGACTGGAAAAAAAATATTTAAGAGGGATCGATTTCCTTTCTGATACCATGTTGAAAGAGAGAATATATGAAAACGTATATCTTATTGAGTGAATAATACAATAATACAATCGGGTTTATATAGGAGAAGCTACTGGTGTAGGAGAGTGGAGAAACAAGTAAACCCTATACATGGTAATGCTATATATGGTAATGAGGGGTAGGCAAAGGCAGCTACAATACAAAAAACTCTAGTAAACCCTATATACAATGCAATCTAAATGTACATGTGTGACAGCTCATACTATACCGTACAACAAAGCTTATAAATGAAAACTTAAAGATGTTGAACCCAGCTCAAAGGATAATATACATTGCAGCTGCCTATTACTCAGGCTAGGTTTTCCAGCTTTGGCGATGAAACTAAAGAAAAAGAGCGTAATTTTTCTCTTTTATCCATCTCCTTTACCTTCTCCTCTCCACTGCCTTCATTTATTTCTTTAATTCCTTCCCCTTTGTTCTTCTTCCCTTGATCAAAGGCAGCAGTAGGTATGTCTGCAACAACTGCAGTGTCTGTTTCCTTGTCCTGTACCCTTTTTTTCTTCTACTTCTTCCAAGTGCAAGATAACCCCAAGGTGTTGTTTTTTCCCATACCAATAAAGGCCCTCCCTTCACCATCCCTATGCAGATGGTCTACAGGGCTTATTTAATATTCCTCTTTAATACAGGGCGCTTACCAGTGCTTGTGTGCACATAGACACAGAACTCTGTAGTAAGGACACAAGTCCATATAATGAAGAGCAATTTTACTAAAATGATGAATTACCCTGACCTCCCTTGAGGTTTGGCCTCTTCACCCATAGACTAAACCTTTGGAAAAATCACTCTGACCTCCATTGTCAATGTTAGAGCCGTTAATTGAGTCAAAGTTTCTGCACATTTACCATTTTCATAATAAACATCACAATAGCTGATGTTTTGTTGACATAATGAAATTGTTTCGAAAACAAAAATTTGCCCCTCAACTTACATCAGATGATATCTATCAAAATCTAGGAAATATAAGTTTCTCCCCTCCCTCCTCTCCCAATCTCACAACTAGGAAGGGAACATACATGCCAGCACTACAAAATTTATGTGACATACTATTTCTTTTCCAACTACATGGCATACCATAGTTAGTAGTATAGTATAGATTAACACCATCGAAGAAAATAAATTCCACCAACATGCCGTCTCCGATTCATTCCCTTTAGTGCTTCAGTCTACCACTTCACTGTCTGCACAGAACAAATTTCCCTTCACCAACAGAACCCTTTCAATTCTCTCTCTCTCTCTCTCTAGTTTTTGCTGCTTTGGCCATCCCTCTTCCTCTCTAGATTGTCAAATTAATGTATCGAATCAAAATGTAATTTCCACATAATAGATTGGTATTCACTTTGGTTCTCAGATTCAAGTATTTCTGTCATGAAATGAAATTGAATCTTTGAGTTATAGATTCTAGAGTTTCAAAATAGTTCGTCTCCAATGGCTATCAGAGGCATAGATTTCAAGTGATAACTTTTGATTCTTCGTAAAAATGAAGATTTTATTTGATATCTATATTTGTGCTTAAATTTCTTCAGCTTCTCATAAGTATATTATTATTCAAGTAAATTGTTATCACTAGATTACACCAACACACGAGTTTCGAACTTTTGCTAATGCAGTATAAGTGTGTATCCTTTAAATATTTAACTTGTGGGTTCCACTTTTCCCAAATCTAGAGAGAGACAGATATGAAAGATATGTTATGAGAGAGTACTAGAAAATAAACACACACAGACCCTAGACGTCTCACATGTTTGTGCTTTCTTCCATTATGCATGTGAGATGTTTATCTGTCATGAAAGAGTACTAGAAAAGACACAGATCCTAGAAGTCTCAAATGTTTGTGTTTTCTTCCATTATGCGTGTAAGACGTTGTGCACGTGTGAGAGAGGGGGCTAACATGGGGGTACACAGAGAGAGAGAGAGAGAGAAGACCTTATATTTCCCTCCCTTCTCTGCTTGTACCTCAGATTTGTAAAAAGAAACAAAACTGCATCTAAATGCACATGTAAAAGATAGGGCATTTTTGTCATATTGATATCCGCATATTTTGTTTGAACCTTATTAATATGGGCATATTAGTCATTGAAAAATTAGTGTTAATTTTGTCATTTTAGTGTAACTATGGCCAATTTTGGCTTTGGAATAAATAATTTTGACGGTTCTAGCAACCACTTAATGGTCAGGGGATACTCTGTTCTTTTGCCCAAACTTCAAGAGAGGTTGATCGCAGATCAAAGTTTAATCTATGGGTAAAAAGTCTAAACCTCAGAGGAGGTCAGGGTAACTCAACCTTACTAAAATAAAAATAAAAGGATCTAAAACTGGACAGAGTAAGCCCTTGGATGCATGTGACTCCCAAAAACAATCAAAGAGGAAAAATTGGAATGAGGTTTGCCTTAAATAAAGAGAACAACAAGTTTTAGTTAATGAGGGCAGGCCTGGCACAACGGTAAGGTTGGTAACATTCCTACATGGTTTAACTTATCGATGTCCTTGAGTCCAATTAAGATAAAGAGTGGGCAATCATCTAACCTTTCTCTCGCGCTAAAGCAAAAGAATTAGGGAGTTCTTCTCTCCTTTCTTTGTTTTCTGTATCCAACCTGGAAATACAACTTCTCTACATACTAAGGTAAGGCTGCACAAATTTGAACATCATCTGTCAGGGCCCTCGTGCACTAGGTTGTCCTTTTTTTTAAGTAAATTTTAGTTGATCTATTCAAGCGTTTGTCATATTCAACTTTGGTTATGACTTGCCGTGAAAAAAAGAGAAAAAGACAAAGCTTTGGTCATGGAAAAATCTAAATACTGAGTGCAATATGCCAAACCAATTATTATGAAATGTATTTCAGAATGTGTCAAAAATTATCTGCACGCATCCGAAATCCATTTCCTATGTATAGATAAAACAGTATCAATTTACTTTAGAAACATGTCTTGAGACGTGGACAACAACTTCCACACGTCCACTACAGCACATACAATTTATTTAATTGTGTAAAATGAGTTTCATTAACGCGTCTTTCATAGATATGAAGATGGGCAATACAACTCAAGTAGCTAGAAAGCAATAGATTTATAAAATAAAAAGCACTTAGTGTACCGTGGCAGTGGTATCCGCTGCTCGTGGCTGAACTCCTTTAAGGCCTACAACCCTGCAAAATCAGCAATAGATGATATTACCAGTGAAATAATCAGGTGATTCTCCAGATTACCTATGACCAATTTAGGACTCAACATTTGACTAATACATAGCATTCTCAAGCAAAGCATGAGAGGACCCACAACATGCACACAAAGAGTTGATGCCTCAAGTCCTTTAAATAAGATATGCAAATCATACCAGCCACCACGTGGAGCATCAGAATAAGAGCTTGGATCCATGGGGTCCAATTCATCATCCTCAGTGTAGGCACGTTTCTTGCTGTCTCTTTTATTGCCTTTTCCTGTTGGGGGTTTCATATTGGACCTATAAACCCAAGGACAAATTAATTATGTCAATATGAAGCTCCAAAATTTGAAACTTTTTAAGTTCACAATATTTTGATTAGATTTCTATTCAGTTTGTGCGAATCAATATTCAGTGAGATTTAAATTTCAAGTACTTAGATCTTTAACTAAGTTTGTAAAGCCAAGAGGATCCCAAAATAAAAGATAGAATCCAGTTCAAGAGGGAATTTATTTTCTTAGTTACGATATATTTCTTAAAAACTTTATACCACCTTGGTCTTCTGTTATTCGCTTTGATGAAGTTGCCATCCTTTCACTTCCTCCCTGTATTGCTTTTATTTATTTATTTTTAATTTTATTTCCTGCAATTTAATTGTCTTTTTAGGTAGTTTTCATACTTTGCTCTTTTTCCCCTACTTTTAATAATATTCTTGCCTCTTGTTCAGAAAAATCAAATAAAGGTGAAGAGATTCTCAGTGTTACATAGCTTTAAGGACCTCTTGAAGCAGAAGAGTCCAATATGAGCTTAAATCCAATGGTAAACCTGCTTCAGTCCCTTTGGAATTGATTCCCCCTCCCTCTATATGCGCATTAACAAATGAAAGAATTTTTAATCATATTTCAAATCCCCCAAATGGTACAGAGCAAATTAATTTGACAGCTAAGGCACAACATTTTAAATTAAAAGCTTAAGTGGCACAGCGTTTGAAAAACATTAAGCTTCAAAACAGTTAGGATACCTGTGCTTTGCAAGCCTTTTTTCTGAATCTTCTCTAATACTTGCAGCATTGGGGATCTGCTGTTGGGTTTCCAGGCTGTGTGACAGGTACTGGCTTTGAGGAAGATTGAGAACTCTACGTTCAAAAAAAGATTTGATAAATATACAGAAATAATATCCTTTGTTGATCAATAATAACCATAATGATAATGGTGATAATAATGAATGATAATAAATATAATAAAATTATTAGAAATTTATGAGAGATGTTTTGGACTTCAAGACTTTTATCAAACTTGTAAATGCAGACTGGCACTTTATATATATATTTGGTAATCAGCTGCTTTATTTTTATTTTGTATCACTATCTATAGGTGAGAAATCTACTTATCAAATTAAGGTATAAAAAGCGAATACAAACAAGACTTATATGAACTATTGTTTTTATAATTTCATTAAAAAAAAAAAAAAAAAAAAAACAACACTCCAGTCAAAATGATTGGTTGTGATAAATAAGTGGAATTATCAAACCGTGTGCAATGATTGCAGTAACCCCACGACTGCACAAGGCCTACTCCCCAACCACTGCATCCCATGCATTTCTTTAGCAAGGATGACTTATCAGCCCCATTCCCATTAGCTGCAGTTCTGGAAATAATGCTTCCATTTTGGTGTGAGGAGACCTTCAGTGATGACTCAGGGTGCTCCCATTGTGATACATGCGTCTTCGTGTTGTAGTAATATTTTTGACCTGCATTTAAACACATAGTATAAGAAATACATACTTAAATGGTTAAAGAACCTGCATAATGAAAGGTCCCTGTACTCCATAGGCTGATAGTAACACATTTTTACCAATTGGTACATTATATAATTTTGAAAATTAAAAATGCATTTCTGCTGAAATAAATAGTTATGCACTAAAAGAACTGATAAGCGCCGAATATTGCATATTCAAGCGCCCTTACTTGCATTAGTTAAGTCCATTTTTGGTTTATATGTATATATTTTCTCCAGTTCTTTGTTTCTGTGCATTTTTCAGGTTTGTCTGCAAAAAGGGAATAAAATGGAAGCTCAGAAGGCTTGTTGAAGAGCAAATCAATCCGGGCTTTTGCATCCGGAGATTTCCAAGAAGAATCCGCTAAAATAGGTCCATGAAGCCCTTCTACAATGAAAAAGGAGCAAGTGATTCTCAATAGGCCAATGACAAATCCCTGAAGAAGAAGCTCAAAGCAGAAGCAAGAGAAAATGCATTCTGATGCATTTTCGAGCGCTCGAAGCACCACCTTCGAGCGCTCGTGCAGCACAGATGACAAACCCACGTATGCTATGCCATGTCATTCGAGTGCTCGAAATCAAAGCAGAATGCCCCAAGGACTCTTCGAGCGCTCGAAACCCATTCTTCGAGCGCTCGAAGGAACATGCAGACCCACTTGTGCCTTGATTCCCTCAACTTCGGATTTCCCTCTTTTATGAGTTGGTTGGAGATGTCTTTTGATGGGAGTTGAGCCTCATTTTGAGGGGGTTTGGTAGACATTATGTCTACAAAAGAAAGGGGAAACCATTATTAGATATCATATATCATTTGGCAAGATTTTTTTGGAGAGAGAAAGGAGGAGAAGATAGAGTTTTGTGTGGCTAAAAAAGGAGAGCTCGAAAATGGGGGTTGGATCCAAGCTTCTTCCTTCTTTTAGGGCATCCATGGGTAACTAACTCTTCCTCTAGGGAGGTGATGAAGCCCTCCCTTATAAGCATGTTCTAGCTTAGTTCTATTTTGGGGATTACAATGTATAATCTATGGTCTTTTCATGATCAAGAGCATTTCATTTGTTGTAATGGATGTTGATGTATATGAATGATTTTTCTAAGTTGATTATCTTGTTCTGGATAATGTCTTACATTAATCATATTACTTATGTTTTCATGGTAACAATGGAAATAAGGTTATGAAATGGTTTAATGGCATGTTGGTAGATATCTTTGATAGGCCATTGCTTAGGTAATCCCTTTGATGGTTTATGCTTAATCTCTAGCTTCATGTGCTTCAATATTTTATCAAGGGTTTGATAATCTTTCATTTAAGTAAGTGTGTTTAAGCTGCACTCTAGTTTAGGTAGTCTAAACATATTCACCTTTGATGGATTATTCTTGTTTATGATTCAATGTACTTCTTGTTAATTATATGGCAACCATGTGTTGCTATATAATTCTTGACCATTATATATTGTTTTTCCCCTAAATTAGTTCTAATCTAGCATGTGTATAGGGATGGAGGCAGATTCACTTCCCTAGTTTTCTTTACTCGTAATTTATCTCTTTTAATTCTCGCAAGCTTTTATTTTATGAACTTCACATTCTTAGTTTTAGTGACAATCCAACAAATCCTCTATAAACCCCCTTATCATTCTAAAAAGATTCTAGATACTTAGTTTGCCATAGACTAGCAGTCCCAGTGGTTCGACTTACCCGACCAATAGGCCTATTTTACAATGATTTGTGCTATTGCAAATGGGTTGATTTATAATTGATAATCGATCCGTCGATCAAGAACACTAAGGACTAAACAAATAATATAGTTAAAACAGAATTAAGAATGACAAAAATCTAATTAAGAGTGACAACTGTGGTAGGATAGGTATGAGGTCCTCAAGCCCCACAAACTTGTCATCATCTTCAGGATAAGAAACAAGGGGATCAGTCAGGTTCTTAAGGCAGAAGAAAATTATTTCGATTAGCTCAAACACACTAAAAAAAATTTGGATTCGGTTAGGCTGCCCGATACCCAACATGGCCGAGCAATCTCCTGTCCTGGCCGATGTGTAAATGTTACCGTGCAGGAAGGAATCAGCGAAGAAAGAAATGAAGTCTAGTGAAAACACAGTTTCACAGTTAAGGTCGAATAATTTCCAGTAATGTCTTCTTTTGCATGAAAAAGAAAAGGTGATTTTTTTATTTTATTTATTTATTTATTTTTGATAAGTAAAATTGTATAAAAGGCACTCAAAAGGGGAACGCATCCCAAGAGAACTACACAAGACCAAATAGGGCCTCTACACTCTCAAGGAGTCCAAAAACTCTACAATCTCCTCTATTACCTATGAAAACAAATCAATATAAAGAGGATTTCAAGATAATGATAAAGTGATACACTGAACTAAATATCAAGAGAGATGGCTGTATCACAATTTTTGAGACAGCCATACCAAGTTTCCAAACAAATTAAGGAATCATAAAGAGATATAAGTTCCTACTTTGAAGAAACGTCCAAAGGCCCCATCAAAGAGGTCAGGACTAGTGCACTGAGATGCAACAACAACAACAACCAAGCCTTTTTCCTAACTACCTGGGATTACATGAATCCTATGTTTCCATTCCGCTCTATTTATTAAGGCCATAGCCACAGTCAATCCACATGCTATCATATCCTTCCCTTCTAACTATAGCCGTGACTAATGCACTGAGAAGATTTCACTAAATTTCATGGATCTTCATATTCAAAATGATGTTTTGAGTTCAGGTGTCCAAAACTAAGCCTATTCTTACCATTTCTTCGCACTGTATTCCAAATGAGAAGTAGCTGGTGCAAAAAAGTAGGAAGATAATGAAGACCGTAAAAAAGGGCAAGATGGTGAAGTGATGTATGCAAGACAAGATGCGATTGAGCAAGACGATGTTTGCATAAGAGGACGAATGTTGAATGGATGTGCGGTAAGACTAGAAATGATAGAATCAGAAATGATCACATTTGGGAGATGGTTGGAGTGTACCAATTGGTGATAAAATCAGTTAAGATGGTTTGGACATGTGCAAAGAAGACCTTTAAGTGCACCGGTTGGGAAAAGTGACACAGTCCACATTGAGGGTAATACTAGGGGAAGAGGAAAACCATAGTTAACATGGTTAGAGTCAATAAAGAAAGATATGATAGCATGCGGATTAACTGAGGCTGTAGGGAAACTAAGGCTAAAATATGAACCAACTGTAGAGCCATACAGTATAGAAAGCAGTTCGGGTAACTAAAAGAATGTAATTTACTTCACTACTCAATCGAGGTAAAATATAATCATGCAGCTTTAAATAATGTAATTTACTTCACTACCCAATAGGGAAAAAAAATAATAATTAACTTTTATAATTCCCTATGTCAAATAAACAATTTAAATTAAAGTAACTAGCCCAAACATGACATTACATGAGTTAGAGTATTGGTACATGTCCAACATGTCTAATGTCAGATATACACAACCAAATAAGGGAATTCACAAACTCATTCTTAGTTCTAAAGAGAATGCCTAAAATACCTATTATATAAATGCCATAAAAGAAGTGAAGTAACTAAATGTAACAACCTACATTACAAGGAAGCTTCATTTCACCAAAAGGTGGAAATGGGAAAAAAAATGGAAATTTCATTCAGCATGTTCCCATGTCCTAAGATTCAGGGGAGTAGGAGAATCTGATATCTAAGCACACACCGACAGTTCATGCATACCTCAGTCAGTTTTAACAGACTTCTAACGTAGGAATGTCACATTTTTCTAGGTGAAACACAAACCTATATCATTTTATCTGGTGCCCATGAAGGCCTTATGAGATCTTCTCCAAGATTGAGGTACATCCTACATGTCCACCATATCTTGCTTAGGCCTTATGAGATGAGGTACATCCTACATGTCAACCATAAGCTCATAACTTGCTTTACTCCCAGCACCAAACAAAAATAAAGATTTAATTAGACTTGCATAAATACCAGAATAAAATATTATCATCGTACCCATACTACTAATATGAACTATCAACCCAACAAATTTTCTGGCCTCCCTTATTCCTCCTTTCCCCCATTCCCTCCCAGATCCATCTCTCTTTTCCTCTCCAAAATTGGTTTTTTAATTATCAGATGGCAAATCACAAGGCTAAACAGTGAAACCAATTCATTGAGTCTCTATAAAGCACAAAGACATAGAAACACAAACCTGGTCCTGTTGATGAACCGATCACTCAACTTTTAGTTAAACTAGCCCCCCATAGTTTGCTCTATCAACTTCATACCTCCTTAGAAAGATTGATCAGCCACGGCTCTGATGACCCTTGTAGAATTTTCTCACTCTATTTTTTATTTTTAGATACATGATTAAATTGTCAATGACTTATGTTGTTTATATTACTTCCTTTTCTTCTGGTCAAGCTTCAACTGTTGGTTGTTTTGGCATCTAATTTGATGGTTTAACTAGCAACTTATCTTTTTCATGGTGAAAGAACATCCAGGCCCTTGCATCATTCCCATATCACTCTTTGCAAATCAAGGAATTCCCCCACTGCGTTTGTTTTCTTCTGTATCTCTGATTCCCTAACCAAGAAATATGACATAGGATCATAACACCACCTTTTAGTGCCTTGAGAAATTGCCAGTATGATCATATACCACCTTCCTAGTAAGTAACAAGAAAAGTAAAATATGATGCCCATTGGTTTTATACAACTTGAAAGTGATTAAAAAAATAAAAATAAAAGTATTTTCTCTTAAAATCATTCCCTCAGAATTTTGACTGACAGAAGACCCAACTTCAAAAGAGCAGGTTGACTGGATACGAATTAATTGAAAGGCTTTTGTAGCACTTAGCTTTCCTATTGATCTATATCAGTTCTTATCAGCATCACCAAATAAAAATGCATAACCCCCGAACCATCTCCAAAGAATTGCTTGGTCTTCCCACAACAGTAAAATGCAATAATCTGTGTTCTTTCATTTAATTTTTCATATTCTGTGCTCCAAAAATATAGTAGGAAAGATAATGATGTATATGTTTTACCTGATGTTTCATCCAGTGCCTCCAGCCAATCTTCCGGAAGAGTTATATGAGATGGGGGCTCTGTGTTAACAGCCGTCTCAACAGGTCTTTCCCACTGACTTTTCCCAGAATTTTCATTATAATAATATGGAGCACCACTTGCAGGGTCCTTTGATTCGATCTAAATCAGAATTATAATAGCAATATGAAAAAATAGCAAGTAAAGACAATCCATGTAAATAACAAAAATACATAAGAGCTAATTTGGAATAAAGAAAATTACAATTTTCACTTCTGGAAGAGAAAAAAATTACAACTCAGCCAATGACATCTCTCCACCCATCCAAAAATAGAAACGAAGTTATCTTATAGCCGTCACACCATCAATTTCAAAGTGAAATTAATTAAGAAACAAGACTAGAGCAGTAAAGCAACAAACTATATTAAGATTAAGCATGTAATCACACAAACCTGTGCAAATCAAAATAGAAAAAGAAAAACCAAATCTCATAAAATATTAATTTCAAACTTTAAACATTCTGACAAAAAGTTTAAAGAACAAAAATTTTAAGTTCCTGATATGGATATAAAGAAAGATGAAGTTGACAGCATCTTTGCATTTTTCTATTAAAATAATCAAAATTCTGGGAACCCACCAGCATTTAAAAGATGCACACACTTTTAAAACATATCATATCTTGCAAAAGTTTTACCAACAGCTTCTTTTTCTTCAAATGCAAAACTTCTACACTTCCCTCTTCAAATAGCCAGTTATTCTATGACATGTTGGTCAATAGAACAGTGACACGAGGCAGCATGTGAGTGTCATACAGATATGGCATAAGGTACCTCAAGGAGGTGATGAATAGGACTTATTGAACAACAAGCATGTCCTGTGAGTTGGCCCTTATGGGTAATCAAGCTAAAAGAAGATCAATAATGTGACCGCACGCATGCAGATTGGCAGAGGGGGAATAAAAAAAAAAAAAAAAAAGCTATAACAGGGAAGGGTCAATCAGGCCACCTTAGCATCAAGTAACTGGATGAAGGAAAGGATACACTACTCATCCCGGTGTGGTCTGCTTGCCCAGGTGTGGGCAATATTGGGAAGCTCAACCTGACATGAGCTTGGTGCACAGAACATTATAAGTAGATACTTCACATCTCAGTTTCACGGCCATGAGGCAGTTTGATTGACCATGATTGGGGAGGGATACCTTGCCCATGATGTTTTCAAGAACTGCAACATACCCATATGGCATGAATAGGAAAATATCACAGCTTTTCCTCTCATCTTGGGAAATGCATCTTACAAACTCCATGGTCAAGTCCAAAAAGGGTCAAAATCAAGATGGTTGCATTAATGGAGGAGGGGTTGGACTTATTACAGACCTAGCCTCCTGTTCCATTTGTATAGTGTCTGCCATCATACCGAAGCCCGAGCTTTGGAGTAATTGTCTTATATTCAGTGTCTGGTACATAATATTCATAGTCTGTTCCCATCAATTCAAGGTGCCTATAAATATTCATAACTTAACAAACTAAAATATAATTAACCAAGTTGAAACTTGAAACCAATCCACCCCTAGTGATTGTCTCAATGTCTAACGATTAAATAGATGCAAAACAAAGTAATTCATGTTGCAACAGTGGGCGGGGAGGTTTTTTTTTTTTTTTTTTTTTTGATAAAGAACAATGACCTAAGATTTCTCTCCTTCAAAGGATCTTTTATTCCGCTCCCTCCACCGACACCACCAAAGACACACGGGCGCCATCCTACAAAACCCTGTAGCCTATGCTCCCACCCAACCCCCTCTCCATAAATCCATCAGACCTCTCGTAGATCTAGGCATGACCCAGTAAACTCCAAAGAGGCCTAACAAGAGATTCCAATAGTCAACCACTACTGAACAATGCAAAAGAAGATGGTCAACCGACTCTCCATTACACTTACACATGCAACACCAGTTCACCGTGATATGATTTCTCCTTCTCAAATTATCCAACATCAATATTTTACCCCACACGACCGTCCAAGCAAACAATGTCACTTTCAACGGCGCCTTAGTTTGCCACGGATCACTTGGCTGAACAAAAACTCTAAAAAAACCAAAGACGTCATCCATCTCCCAGTCCTGAAAGGATTGCTAAAAAAGCACGTCCCAAACCGGTCTCCCGCTATCAAGGCGATAGGAGTCAGCCACCGAGGCATACCTATTAGCCGCAATCCTAAAGAGTCCGGGGAAAGAACATGCTAAAGTGTGATCTCCAGACCACAAATCCTCCCAAAACTGAATCTCCGTACCATCATGAACTCTGAATCTGATATGTTTAGAAAACTCATTCCATCCCTTCCGAATAGCTTTCCAAACACCAACGCCTCCAGGAAGAGACACCAACCCCCCCCCCCTCCCCCCCCCAACCCAAACCAAAACAACACAAGATAACCCTCCTCCACAACCTATCCCGCTCAATACCAAACCTCCATAACCACTTACCTAAAAAGGCCCTGTTAAAAGGCAGCAAAAAACCTCATAGTCAAATATGCATTCCGGCACCTAAAACCCAAATCTTTTACCGTTGTTCTAGGCATTGCTCTCTAATATTTGAAATCCATTCCAAATTAACTCAGTGTGCATGCAAATACTCATCAAATCCGTTATAGTAGAGTCTAATTGACAAAGTTAAAGCAATCCTGTCGTGTCAACGTCTTAAATATTATATGGATTCACAACAAACCTGTTTGTGTTGCAACAGAGAAGAATCATTTTTTCTCGAGTAATGTAGGAAAACTAAGTCACTAAGTCGAACTATTTTTGCATCGAGTCAAAATGTAATGAAATGTATGGATCATCCACAAAACATTAAGTTCTATTTAATCATATTCTAAAGCAACTCCACATAGAAATCTATATGATACATCTTCCATGTATGTGACCTCAAAAAATCATTTGACAAAGTGCTATTGTAAATGGAAACTTACATGAAAATTACCATGAGATTTTAGTTCTAATTGGTGCAATCAAGAGGCAAGATGATGAAAAATTGTTCAACTTCATCAACACCTGAGTTTCTTAGAGGGAATAAATAAAAGAAAAACCTTCTACAAAGGTGTTAACCAAGCAAACCCTAACATTATCAAAAGAAAAAAATAGCCAAAGTTGGAATTTGTAAATAAGCAAAAGTTTCTTTACAATGTTGATAAACTTCTATTTACACTGAGAGAATACCAGAAGGCATAGTAAAATAAAATCCTAGCTGTTAAACTACTCCAATTTTAACCCATGTCATAATTAATATAGAAAGGAGAAAAGACACAAAATCTCCTAGATAAAAATAGTGTAGTCAATGTTACACTTGCACTACTGAACTACTGTAGAACTCAAACAATACTCCTACATTTGTCGGGAATACTAATACTTTCCCATGTTACTTTAGTTTACTTTTCTTGAGAATCACTGTCCCACATGACACCCTAAACATCAAATGGAGCATCAAATGACCACCCACGTGACCTGTTGGACAACCTGATGGAGCCTTAAATGCACTTATACTACAGTAAAGTACCTTTAGATCTCATTTTGCATGTCTCTGGTGATGATTTTCTTTTAAGATTCTCAAACATTTCATATTTCTTCATGCATTAGAACAGATGTTTGATATCTGACTTTGCCATGTTCCAAGGGGTTGGCTCAAGTGGGTGTGTCACTTGGCTCTGATGCCATCAGGTCTAAGGTTCGACTCCTCCGCAAGGTACTAGGAGCGGAAGACTGGATATGGACCTAATCTTTAGCATATAGCTGTTTAAAGGCTCAAGGCACCACAGGTCTTCTGGAGCTTAAGCGCAAGTCGCAATATAAGGCACAAGCTTGATCAAAGTAAGGTGCATGTGTAATAATAATGCCTATTAAATACAAGTATATAAAATAAAAATAAAAATAAAAAATTAAATTGTGCAACACAAACTAGTTAATATTAAAATGAATGAGTTTTCAACATATCAATCAATAGATTAGCAAAAGCAACATACATACATACATATATATATATATATATATATATATATATTCAATTTGCATACAAATTCAATCAAATCAATGTACAATAAACAAATTCAAGAAATGCAACACAACTAACAAAAATTCTAGAAAAAAAAAAAAAAAAAAAAAAGCCTTTGGCATATCAATGAAGGGATCAGGTACATTAATGTGCATAAATCCTTTCATATGCATATGCATTTACCAAATTAAATGTGATTACAAATGTGAAATAATAATAAACTATAACCATGTAAAGTTTAAATGCATATTATTATAAATATTCAGAATCAAACAATAAAAAGTGTGAGTCTGAGGGCTTTGTGTGAGCCTAACTGAACATGTCTGGCTACAGTAGGTCGAAGCGCTCTAGCTCTAGCTCTAGCTGAGCCTGGGGCCTTTTTGGAGCCTAGGAGAACCTTTAACAACTATGCTTTAGCATTATTTCATAGAAAGTAGCTGCTCTCAGAACCAAACCTGTCCTCACGCTGGTCAGTTAGATTTTGTACCATTGCACCAAGCAATGGCCCCTCCAAGTTTCAAGCAAACACAAATAAAATAAAAAAAATTTCAAATAGAATTTCATGTTCCTTTTCCCCCACTATTTCCAACTCACATTTCAAGCATCTTAAACTTGATTAGCAAAACTTTTTTTAGGTTCATATTAAGAAAAAGCAATTGTAAAGAACATTCAATAAACACAAGTCAAAATGCAAACATTCATAACACAACCACAATGCCTATTCCAACCTGTTTAGAAAATTGAAGATTCCGTACTTACCATGAAAGTCTAGTTGAACAAATAACAGTAATAGCAACTAATACATACCCATCCCTGACGCAATTTTCCTAGCTCCGTGGTTTGAGGTGATTGAGCCTCCGACTTCTGTAAAGTTGCAAGGGGACTATTAACGAAGTAATAGAAGAGGATAGATTGACAAGCAGACACGTAGATAATATGAAAGTGGCAAAGTTCGAAAGTGACAAAGAGATCCCCAAAAAACAGAAACAAAAAAATAAAAAATAAAAAAATAAAAAATAAAAAAAAATAATAATAATAATAAGGTTGACACCACAGAGAAAAATTTTGGGTTAACAACAAAGGAATTCTGAGATTTTTTAATAATGTGCTTATATAATAGTCGACTGATCACAACTTGTCTACAGTCAAGAGTATTATAATCCAAGAATAAACACTCTACGTTGAAGATTAGTTCCACAGGACCATCCAAAACGCCAAGGCAAACAGTTGGGAAAAAGGAAGAGAAGAAAGATCGATAAGAGGTCAACTTGCATTATCAAAGATAGCAGGATCCTTTTTGGCCAAGTCATCTTTTAGAATACCCCTTGCTTTTAGCTTCTGCTTAAGGTACTCAGGCAACCCCTTATCCACAGGCTTCTGATCCAACTCCCCATCAAGCTCAGGTCTTTTCAGGCCTGTTTCATGACCACCAACTCCAGGTTTCCCTGAAATATTAGAACATATGAAAAGATAACCTACTTTAGAAGATACCCAAAATTGATAAAAAGAGAATTAAACATAGTATCTGGTAGACTTACTGGGAGTGTCGGTATTAGGCCTTGAAGCACCATAATAAGCACCTCCACCGGGAACACCATATCCATTTCCAATTTCCATATTGCCTAATATCAAAGCATAGACTTAGCATTTCTTCCCATGAAGTGAGACGGCATTCTTATATAAAACCAAATTATATATATATTATGGACAAAAGGATTATTGACTTTGTTCCTTGAATTATAATTATTGTTGATTTGGAAGTATAGCTATAGAGGCAGGAACTCATGGAAGTTACAAACTATAATTTTAGCCTGGAGACCTTTATCGAGGTACTGCTCATGTGCCAAATTTCACATGACAATATACATATCAGACTATCAATAGTCATGCACTGCAGCATGCATCAGGACAATTCGACAGTCCTAAATGTTAACATAAAGTAGGTACATTTATGAGTGGACTGGTAAGGAATCTGTACATGTACTTGTGAGAAAAAATTTAGTTGGCAAATTTCAGTGTCAAAACCTGAATTGATCGAGTTGTAATTTTTGTTTTAATTTGTGTCTTATAAATGGAGTTGAACAACAAGTGCATGGATGCCGTGGATGCGATGAGAACATCATTTAGTACAGGTATGTGAGCAAGGACACTGTGCACTTTAGTTGGTTGGAGTTGGACTAATACTTTGGAAAATTGAAAAGCTTTTTAAATTTATTTTTATGGTTAAATTTAATTTTATCTTCAAAAACGTCTTTTTTTTTTTTTTTTTTTTTAAAATTATTTTTTTTAGAAGTTCAACCGGTTGGGGATTCCCCAACCGGTCCAGCAGGTCTCAGTACCGAGACCTACAGAGTTCAACCGGTTGGGGATACACCAACCTTTTGAACCTTCCTTGGTTCACATGTATATACCCACATGCCTTTTGAGAGATTTGATGCATATTGGTTTAAATAAAAACATCTTTTAAAAGTAATAATGATCATACTTAATGCTTTTTCCTTTTGAATTGCCATCATTACTAATTTTATTCATATATATGGTCTAGTGCAAAAAAAACCCTCGCTATATACAAAATTTGCAAGAATCACCCCTACTTTTTATTTTGTGCATCTAAATCCCTGTATTATCAACATTTAGAGCAAATTGCCCCCTATGATCAATTTTGACCAAAATATTCTCTTAAAACCCCAAAATACCCTTTTAAATGCCCATAATACCCCTTACAAACTTCAATATATTTTACACAGTTGTGTGAATTTTGGATACCTCTATTTCTCTCTTTCGCGATGAATAACCATTTTTTCTCTCTCCCCGACGTCTACACTCTCTCTCATCCGTATCTATTTCTCTCTCTACAAATCTCTCTCCATTCTCTTTTCTCTCTCTAATATTTTAAAAGTTCACACAGATTACACTAACACACACACACAGATACACACACACACACACAACATATATGTATATATTCCAACAATTAATAAATAAGAGAATTTGAGCAAATAAAGAGAAGCGAGAGAATCAAAACCCAAACATGATCATCAATTTGTTTCTTAATCTTATAAATAGGACTTAATGATTGATGAAAAAAACAACCCAGTTCCAATTTTAGCAAAACCATTCACAGAATAGACATGTCAAGACTCAATTGGCATTTGATCAAGAAAGCCACAGAATTCACCATATAATCCATAAAGAAGAAGGAGCACAAGAGGGAAGGGAAAAAAAAAAAAAAAAAAAAAAGAATAATTTGAACCAGAAATGAAGGAACTAAACAACCTTATCAAATGCACTAAAGGAGGTGTAGTAGTTTTAGTAGCAGCAGTTGTGGTAGAGTCCTCTTCCACAACCTTATCAAATGCACAATTTAAAGCAGACCCACATGCTAGTTTACCAACTGGAGTACAGTTTTCAAGGAGACTCCCAAAATACTAAGATGTAAATCCAAGTCGAACCCCATGATATTCAACAGATTACTAACTGCATTTACCAAATGGCTCCAAACAATATAGCATAAAGTATACAAACACTCTGCTACTACTAAGGACAAACAATAGAATGAAGCTTGTTATACACACACACATATATTTCCATAGACTTGTTAAACTTTACAAGAAACCCAGAAAATCCGCTCAAAGAACTTCACCACTTGAGTCTTAATTGGAGGAAAAGACCCAGAAAACGACTTTGATCTGCTTTGCATGCAAAGAACAATTAGGGCTTCTTAGAGACCCATCAAGTCATATAATAAAATTACTTATAGTTGTGACCCAACAAGTCAAGCCCTAATCCAAAAATTAGAAAGAGATCACCCGCCCTTGTTTTTATGTTTTCTAACCAAAAAATAAACATTTGGACGGGAAAGTAAAATAAGAGAGAGAATGATGACAGGATCGAAGGGAGACAGAGAGAGTGAAGTCAGAGTTATGAATTGGCAGCTCCCTTGGGTGATGACGTCGAAAACTGAAGATTCAATGGCTGAAAATGAATATGGCAGTGATGAGTGTGAGAAGAAGTCGGTAGAGATACAAGTATTTCAATTTGGAGTGATGTAGTAGTTGTATTCAAAGTTTGGACTACGTTGCAGTTCAGAAAGAGGCCAAAGAAAATGAGGAATAGAGGACGAAGAGAGAGAATAATCGAAGAGAGAGAGTTGAAATCAGCCAGTTTTAAGGAATGTCCTTTTCGGACAATTTGTTTTTTTGTTGTTAGGGTATTTTAGACATTTCAGAGACTAAATTGATAAATTGTCCTTATTTGCACAAATTGAAAAATGTAGGGGGTTTATTGAACTACAGGGTGCTATTTGCACATTCTGTATATTGCGGGGGTGTTTTTTGCACTTTCCCCTATATATATACAAACATATCTCAAAGTCCAACCAGTTGGACTCTCCACCAACCAATTGAACTAATCTCAGGAGCTGCACTTTTGGTTTCCCTGCACAGACTAACCGGTTGGGAATTTGCCAACCAGTTGCATTAGTCCTAACAGGTATGGAACTTTACCTTTTTGATAAAGTTTTGATTTCCTTTCCCAACTAAATTACTTGAGATGTCCAATAGAATGTTGAACACTTTTACTTGGACTCTCTTGTCTATAAAAAAAAAAAAAAAAAAAAAAACCTCTTTGCTCCAGCACGGCAGCACTGCACGTGTACAATAGATTTATTATTTTTCACAGGCGAAGTTTTTTTTTACGGGAAAATAACCATGGATTTTTCTGTTTGTTTTTCTTTATTAGAGAGCACACACTATTACATGTGAGTGATTTTAGGGTGATGTTCTTAATCTGATCGGCAATACAGACTTTATGTACAGATCATCTTTTTTCAGTCAAAACAGTAGGATTTGTTTTTCCCTTCATCTTTCTGATTGTGAGGAAGGTGATTTGATCACTACAAAGTGAACAGAGTGTTCATTCGAGTTCTTCTAGCAACCCTTCTGCAAGAACTGAGGAGTAACTGGATGAAAAGTCGCAGAAATCAGCCTGGGATGTTCAGGAACTAGTTCTTGAGTGGATGTGAGCCTGAGACAGAGTTTGTGTAACACTTCTTCGAGATAGTGGAGTGGTTTCGCCAGAGACATCTAGATTTCTGTGGTTTTTTCCTTCAAGTTTCCACGTAAAAAATTCCTACTGTTATCTCTCAGTTACTTTATATACTGCTTTTTGTGAATGGTTTTTTATTTTAGTTGGGTAAAACTAAAATAATTTAAAAATCCATCAACAGAGCAAGTTTCACCTATTCACCCCCCTCTAGGTCTTTTAATATTAGATCAAACCTTTCACACCACTTCTACACCACGCAACTCACAATACTTTCTAACCTCTACTCTATATGCAGATCAATCCTTCACTTGTTCTATTTGCCATCATCTTGGAATAGGATTAATCAGATGGTATAAAAGGTTGTACTATTACTTGTTTTGACATTATTTCTTATTGAAAAGGTTAAGACAGGACAAATGTAAACACCAAAAAAGAAAATGAAAAGGAACCCAAAGAAAATAAACAAAACTAATTTATAATTTTGACTTCAAAAGCAACACAACCATCTACATCTAGCCATTGTTTTCAAGTAGAAGTTAAAACTCCTGAAGTCATGCAGTAAGAGCCCTCTTGCTCCTCCTTGTGTGGTCGTTGGATATAGATTGGGAATTTCCCTTTTTTCTGTTTCAGTTACAAGGGCAAAGTCTCTGCTGTTGGGCTCAATGAGAATTGGACCTTGTTGTCTCTTTTGGGGCTTGTTAGGCTTCTTAGCCGTTTCATGTATTTTGCTTTCAGGTGATGCTTACTTAATCTTTTGGGCCTCCCTCAGGCCATTTTTACATTTCCCCTATTCCTTTATTATATTGCTTAAACTTCCAGGGATTTTTTTTTTTGTTAAAACGTAGTGTATATTAAGTTTGGTTTTTTTTTTTTTTTTTTTTTTTTTGATAAGTAAGAATATAGTGTATATGAGTGTATAAGGGGCATGTTAGTCATTTCATTGTAGTACTAAATTAGTGTTATATATTAGCCGACCCCAAATAATTGAGAAAAGGCTTGGTGGTGGTTGTTGTAGTGTTAGATATGTATATAACAATGAGAGAGGTCAAAGAACTCTCAAGAAATTCCAAAACAGTATTCTCTTCCTTCCTCTCTTTATCACCATTTCAACAATAATATTTATTAGTGGTGCAAGAAAATGCTTCATGCACTCCAAATATCAAAAACCAAGCCAGACCATTCCTTGACAACATGATGGGCTACTCATTAAAAAAGAAAATATCAAAACCAATAATCAGTTCTAAGAATATATATTCCATTGACATTACTGTGTCTTTATTAACATTAACTTAACTTCACTGCAAAGGGTATAAGTTATTCAAATTGTCTTAACTTCACTGCAAAATGTATGACTAAATAGGAACTTCAGTTTAAAATCGCAATTTCTAGCAACAAAAATCTTATCTTAAAAGCAGAACTTACCCCGCTTGGCAGGTCAGATGGTCTAAACTTGTAACAGGAAGTTCACTATTCCCCTTTAAGTAAGGTTCTCTAACACTGCTAATTCAATAAAAAAAAGCCAAGTCTAGATTGCACATCTTTCCATGACCATAAAGCAACCTCTCTTGAAATAAGACAAAGCATTAATCATTAAAGACGATAGACAATCTACTTCCCACATTCTATCTTTTAGAGATTGGGGAAATACTATATGAGCTCCAAAATTTCATGAGGAAAGGACGTGGTTGTTTCCTAACTGGAACTGGGCCAGTAGTGGTTACTCATTTACATGTTGCAGGTCATGCTGACCATTTACAATAGAGAATCATCCAATGAACTTTGATATTATACAAAGTCCCAGGTTTCACAATTTAAAAAGAGAATGTTCCAAAAATTCCAGAGTTGGCCAAGTATCACGGATTTAGAGTTTGTTCCATACCCACATCCGTGCTTTCCGGTGAGAGCTCCTTTAGAGGTAAGAACCTGTAGATCAGAAATAATAGAACACTACAGGATTCCCTGCTTCTTCATTAACTTTCTAAAGAGAGCGCCACTTTTATTCTTTTGTGGAAAAATTGGCTTCATCAACTATTTTGGATCCCTACTAATAGAACTTTCCTAGCAAGCATCATCACTCTCTTGGATCCCTACTAATGGAACTTTCACTATTAAATCAGCTTGGGATAGAATTAGACCAAAACAGCCCAAAGTTCCTTGGTACAAAAACTCATTTATTCTTTGGTTAGCAATTCAAAATCAAATTGTGATTCAGCAGAGGTTACTTTTCATGGGCATAGCCAACAATCTGAGTTGTGTATTTTGTAGGGAGAGGATTCTGAATTCTTTATGGTCAGAGTTCACTCATGTATTATTGGACTACTCTGGTTTCCATCTCTGACTAATTGGGGTTTCTATCTTGCGCTTTACCTGAGTATGTTGAGAATTTTTGTTGCCCAGTTTGCTGCAAAATGCTCTTATTGTAACTACTGCTACAAAGGGTATGGTTTTCTGCTGCTGCTTATCCTCTTATCTGTGCTGCTGACTCCCCATTCTGTTTAGGGATAGTTTTGTTCACACCTGCTGGGATGATTGCATGAAGAAAGGTGTTGGCTACAAGTTTCTGATAGGAATACCCTTTTTTCTAGGCTTTTGCTTGTTAAGATTCTGTATTTGTTTTGTCATCAATTTTTTTTATTTTGGTTGGGTTCTCTGATGGTTATCAAAAACTTGGTGGTACTGAGATTGTCATGAATTGACTTTGCCGAGGGTATGCCCATTGGACATTTGTAATTTGGCTTTTGTCATAGTTTTAATAAACTTCTCAAACTTACTTATCAACAAAAAACAAAAACAAAACAAAACAAAACCAACAACAAAAAGAAAAGGATAACAGTATAATAAAAAGCCTCCTTCAGGAGAAGTTCCACCAACATATTACTATAAAGAATAATAGTTAGTCATGCTAAACTCTTTATGTATAGATAAGATTCATAAGAACAATATAATGTTAAATAAAACAAGTAAATGACTAACCTTCTTCAGGAAGGGTAGACTTGCCACGCTTTAATGCCATTTCTGCACGATGCTCCGTGGTCATCTTCAGCAGATGCTCCTGTATATATCAAAAGCACGAATTCAAATATTTTATATCAGAATAAAAAAATAAAATGGCAACCAGTGAGTCCTTGTAGAAAGAAAAGAGAAATTTCGAAGAAGTCCGATGTCATCAGATAGGTTACACGCCTTTAACGCATTCGGCTCATGACGTCCTGAGAAAATGTCTGTACTATCATCAGGAGGTCCACTTGCACTTCTTGCTTGCCTAAAATCATAAAATTACACGTATAGAAATACTTTCTTGTAGATTCAACATTAGTTGAATCAAGACTAATAAATTGAAAGCAAATCAAACTTACCTTTGACTATGTATAATTTTTTGTGTGGCGATTTCCTGGGAGTTTCAGACAAAGATACATCATTTACATCAATCAAAAAGAAAGAAAGAAATGAAACATGTGATATGTAACAATGCACATTCTTTTAAAGACATACTTGTTCACGCAGCACAGCGTCCTGAGCAGCAGTTTCAATATCATGGCCACTTTCCATCAGGTAGCTAGCAGATACATCAGGACCATCTGTTGCAATTTATATTCATTTTGCCAAAGACAATCACTAGGTTGATAACAAGTTGACCAGAAATTTTAAAAATAAAAATAGTGGAGCAATTTTTCTCTATCTTATCCATGAAAATAGCTATTAAATATCACATTAGTTGATCTTCCTTGACATTTTTGGTCATTGTTCTGCTGCGGCATTCACTTACCCATCTTATTTTGTTTTCCTGGTTGTTGGTCGGAGATGTTCGCACCATTTTGTTTTGCAGTTGACAACCCATTTTGATGTGCACTAAATGGTTCAGAGCACTTCTTTTCTCCAGATTTGCTTCTATGATTTATTTCCCCATCAGGATCTGCTTCCTTCGTTTGTTTGGTAGGAACATTTGGTTCAGCTAATTGCGGAAAAGTTTGGTGTCCTCCACCTTTAAAGCTTTCTGGTTGTGGTTGAGAACCATCACAATTCACATGGGAATGCATTAAACCATGTGAAACCCCTGTTGGTACCACCAAACCAGGAGCTTCCTGTCTGATGGTTTGAGAGGATGGAATGATAGGTTGGATAAAATTGTTATTCTGAAAGTTACTATGGATCTGATCTGAAAAATTAGGAGCATATGGAGCTGGTGGAACGAAATGAGGATAAAAGCTTTGAGAGGGAGTAATGAGGGTTGCATTGGAGGGAGGAACAGGAAAAAGATTGTTTGCAAAATTGTGAGCATGGTAGTGAGGTCTAACAAAGTCCTGAAAAGGCCGAGGGTGTTGGATGGATGGACCTGAAGAGGCCGAGAGTGGTGAAGAATTTGGCAGAGAATGAACTCCAGGAGGAAGTGGCTGATCATAGTTGTTATCCATGGGCTTCAAATATTACATATAACAAAAATGTTTATAGCAACTTCGATATTAAAGACGTCAAATTCGAAGGCAAGGAAAATGGAATGTTACAAAGATGCCAAGAAAGAACACAACACCTGCATGAGCACATATCTTCAAAATATTAATTCCATATATTAAAACCATCTAGATAGGAATATTTAAGTACAGAAAGGACTTCTAACACGCACTTCTAGCTCATTAAAAGCATTCAATGTTTTTGTAGAACTTTTATCTAAAACTAAAATTACTTTTTAGGGGCAATCTATCTTACAATACAGCAATACCCAAATACCGATATGCTTAGATTAAACATTACATAGAAAATGTGTCAGCATTATTCCCATTTTTTACTCTTCAGCAAACAAAATGCTGCTCAAATTTCTACTGTAGAATACATCAATTTATTTTGGCCAATTACCCTATCAAAAGCCAAATCCTAAAGTGAAACAAGATAATTTATTTACTCCAGACTTTCTCTCATGTTCTTTCTCAGACACCCTCGATCCTCTACATCTTTGAGACAATAGGTCTCCTTTTAAAGCATAGAAGGCAATTATCTTCATTGCACATGCTTAACCCATATGAGCCAACTTTGTCCTTATCATGCCACTTTTTCTATCACTACCTTTCTCTCTCTATCTTCAAAGCTTTTGTACACATATCAGAAAAAATATATATTTGAAAGAACACAGGAAAAAAAAGCTATTCAGTTTTCAAATGCAAACCAACTTTTCACAATTGATTCAAATTGATCATATTCTCCCTCTTATTTACACATCTTTATCTAAAATCATCCTTGCATAAAGGCTCAAACCATGAAAAGTGAAAACATATTATTTGACTGCCTCGCATTTGGCCTTAATTTGGAATTTATATCCAGACTGGGTGCTCAAATGAATTCGAAGAAAATTCAGACGTAAAGTTCGTAAGTCCGGCTCAAAGGGAAAGATTGTGATTAAATCTGGAATCCTAAACCATTTAATCATCATCAAGTCCAGCTCAAAGGGAAAAATTGAGATTAAATCTGGAATCCTAAACCATTTAATCATCATCACCACCTACGGGTTTGACCAGATGAATTCTCCTTTTTCATTAGAAACCATGTTTCCTAATATATTTAAAATTTTCAAATCATTCTAATAACTTCATCTAATGTTTGTTTTGGTTGGCCTCTGTCTCTTTTCTTCTACGTAAACAATATTTCTTTTCTTATCAGTGCATTTATGGATTTACATTGTACACATTCATACCACCTATAACGTTGTTTTGTTTGGACTCTGTCTCTTATCTTCTATGCAAACAATCTTTCTTATCTTATCAGTGCATTTATGGATTTACATTGTACACATTCGTACCACCTAAGTCTGATAACTGTTATTTTATCACTCAAAGGCATCACTCCTCTTCTATGCAAACAATCTCTCTTTTCTTCTCAGTGCATTTATGGATCTACATTGTATACACTCGTACCACCTAAGTTTGATTTCTCTTATTTTATCAATTATAAGCATCACTCATACTTTTTTCCTTACACGTTGGTTATTAAGTCTAATCTCTTTTAGTCACTCATATCATCCATCTCAACATCCTCATTTCAGTTACATGAGTATGTTGTTTTCGTTTCATTTTTAAAGCCCAACACTCTGCTCCATAAAATATAGTCGGCCCGATAACCATATTATAGAATTTGTTCCTTTTAACTCATTTGATATTTGTTTATCACATGGGACCTTACGAATCTGTCTCCACTTTGTCTAACATGCTCCAATCCTATTGATTACATCCTCATCTATATCCGCTTCCTTTTGTATTATCAATCCCAAATATCAAAAATAATTATTTTGGGTAATCCTTTGGTCATGAATTTTTAGTCATATTCTCATTCTCTGATACTCAATTGAACTTACATTTCCTATATTTTGTTTTAGTCTTACTAATTTTAAAACCTTTTGCTTCTAACGTATTTCACCATGTTTATAATTTTATTGATGAGGCTTCCTAAAAGGTATCTAATAGTATTTGTCATTGTAAGCAACATACAACATGGAATTTTTTTTTTTTTTCTATAAGTAAACATACAGCATGGAATATCTCCTTGTATATCCTTTGTTATTATATCCAAAACTATCAAAAATACATATAGACTTAACATTGATTCTTGGTGTAATTCTAGTCTTATAGAAAAATTATTAGTCTATACACTTAATAGTACGAACCCCATTCTTTGTCTCACAATACTTATCATGAATAAGATGTACAAGTTCTGATAGGGAAAAATAACTGCATTGGCTATTTGAATAAAATCTGAATATTTTTTAAAGTTCGAATTTACAGAAAATTAGGATGTCTTCAATAGGACGTTGATTATAAAGATGGGCATCCCATCAAAATGGTTGTTAGAAGAGATAAAAGCTTCCTCTGATCACTAACTTGATCACCGGAGCTTCCTCGGCCGGCACCACACCGGTTCCATTCGAAGTGACGTCATCCTTGTCGTTTTGCAGGAAAACGGTGTCATTCCAAATTACGCGAATTTTCTCTCCAACAAGTTCTATAAGGATCTATTTTCTTTGTAAATCCCACAAAATAATACTCCTTGGTACTCTATCATATGTCTCCATCAAGTCTATGAAATGATGTGTAAATTTCTTATCAAAAGATGAAATGATGTGTAAATTTGTTTACTTCTACAATCTTCTATCTAATGTCTTATTAAGTAAATAGCCTCCACAGTGGATCTACCTATCATAAATCCAAATTGATTTCCGAATACTGAGGTTTTCTTTCTTAATCTTTCAATTACCCTTCCCCATAATTTCATTGTATGGCTCATTAATTTAATTTCACGATAATTGCAACAATTTTGATTATCTCCTTTATTTTTCTAAATTGGTTCTATAGTGTTTTTTTCCTTCTATTTTGAACTCATTCTTTCTTTTACAATTTTGTTGAATAACTTTGTTAGCTACTCAATTCCTACATTTCCAAAAATTCTCCATGCCTCTATAAATGTGTTATCAGTTCCAAACTTTTTTAATGAAGAGGTTTTTGTTGCTCAAAAAGCTAGAATTCATTGGTTGCAAGATAATGACAGAAGCACCACCTTTTTCTACAATAAAGTGGCTCAACATAGAAATCCATAATGTGCTATCTCTACTATTTCCTGTAAGGTTCATATCGTATCACATAACAAAATATAGAAAGCAACAAGCTGAAAATCTTCCTCCATGTCTCCAAGTGACTAGGGTGAGCTTCCCGGCTTGTGTTGGGATATAAATGAGGCTATTCAAAGCGTCATTACTTGTAATTTCTTCTCTAGTAAAATTTTCATTTAGTATATGTTAAAAGCAAGTTTTCCATCTTTCTAGAATATCATTTTCTCTAACTAGTAACCTATGGCTATCTTTTCCCAACTTAGAGAGAGTTTTTTCACTCTCTTTTGTGCCTAATTTTTATATAAATCATTTCCTGTCTTCTGCTCAACAATTTTGTTTTCTCTAAACCCTCTTGCTTCTTATTTGTTTTTCATTTTCTTTTGTTTTCTATTATATATTATATTATATCACTCAAAAAACCACATTCCTAATACAATCTGCCAATTTTGACCATAAACCATTTATATTGTCATTTCAAATAATGGAATCCAAAACCATTTAATGCTAAATGATAATAAAGCAGATAAATTATGGCCAAATAATTGAAAATGTTAGATTTTAGCGCAAACCATAGTCATTCGTGACCAGAACCTTAGACCAGTTCCCACTTGGGCAGATGAAAAATCAAAAGCATATTCCCAATTAATACCACAACCACGGCTAACTCTCTGCAAAGTCCTTAATAAATTTCCACTCCAATTGATTTTCCAACTTCCAAGGAATTATTATCTGATAATCGTACTAAGCTACTACTCTAAACAATTAAAATCCTATGTTTTCAGAGCAATCAACTTGGGTGTCTTATGAAATCCTATGTTTTCAGAGCAATCAACTTGGGTGTTCCATAAGACACTGTAATTTGTTGAAACTAATTCACATGCCCATACATAATTGCTTAATTTAAATCTAAAATAGCAGAAAACTTGAATTTTTCAATTACTTGAAGGAAGATTCTAAAAAAGAAGTGAAGACAGATTACGAAGAAGAAAATCAAATTGACGAACCTGAACGCACAGTTATTATCGAGTATGAAATTCTTTACGGTAATTTTCCGGGAAAAAGGGCAAGAAAATTGTCGCCTTCAGCGAATTCTTGTAGATTTGTCGGTCTCAAAAAACACGCAGTGTGTAGTCGATTCAGAGAAGAGTTTGAAAGTTAATTTTGACGCTACTATTAAAATTACATATAAAGTTAATATATAGATGACCTTATTAATTGGGCTCTTTTGAAAAAAATGCCAAATATATATTTTACTCAAATACGCATTTACAAACATGAAATAATAATAATAATAATAATAATTTACCTTATATGAATTACAGTGACCTAAAAAGACTTTAAAGCCTTCGTTCTGTCGGACAGAAAGTTCTGAAATGAAATGATTTTTTTTTTCTTTTTTTTTTTTTTTTTTCAATTTTGTAAGAGTTTGGAAAACAACATAAGAATTTCATTTGCATGCTTTTCGAGGTATTTAAAAAAAAAAAAAAAAAAAAAAAAAAAAAAAAAAAAAAAAACCTATTAAGTTATATTTTAAATTTTTTACTATCAAAAAAATTGTATCACTATAATTAGTTGTTCCCCAATATTCATATTTATTGTCACCAGTAAAGAGGATTAAAAATTTAAATAAAATTGTCAAAATTGTACTTTGATGAATTTGATGTGAAGGTGATATTAACAAAAATTATAAATTTAGATAAATTATTTTATAAATTAATATTTTAAATTATAAATTTAGATAAATTCCAAAAACTATGAATTGATCAGGCATCAAACTTTCGTGACTTTACAGATGATATGTTAATCATGTAAAATATGATAACCAATGTGTCCAAAAATGTAAAGCATTGGAAGATAAACCATGTGATAAGTTAGATAAACTCTATCTTGTTGTATAATATAATATCGACATCCTATGGTAGAAGGTGCACTGAGAGCAACATACTCTTATTGACTCAATCTTCCTCTTTTGATTATTATTTTTAGGTCTTCAATGTATATGTTCAAATCATTTAAGTCCATTGTACAGTGTTAGTTATATTTAATCCCGAAATTGTTATAAACAATGAAGACAATGTTGTATTGGTTACTTGTTGGTTAAACCATGTTGAAAGAAAAAACTCAAAATTTATTGCAAAATATACTATAAAATGAAATAATAACGAAAAAGAGTCCCATTACCTTGTATATTCATCTCTTTTTCTGAAATAATTTCCTAGCAAACCCTAATTGTTCTAACCCACACATATATATACACATCAATTTGCGGGATTTGTTCACCTTCCAAAAACAAATATATTTGTGGGTTTTGTTCTGCATTGGATTAGTAGATAGAGACTTTCCAACCCTTTTGTGTTCGTAATCTGTTTTTTGGAGCTGCCATTATTCTCCTTTTATTTTTGGCAAATTAAAATATAAATTATCCTACTGCTTAAATATATATATCTATTTAAAAAACCAATGACATACGTTTGAACACGTAAATTTTAGAACACAATGAATTATTGTGCCAAGACAAGTAATCATTATTGTCCTACATATTTTCACAAATGACGAAAAAGAAAATTTGAAAAACAGAGTACCCATAAATATTGAATTGAATTAACCTATAGCATTAATTATATACAAAGAATTTAAGAACCCAACTTCATCCTACTATTTTCACAAATAATGAAAATACAAATAATATATAAATATAAATACACGAAAGATACATGCACATGTATTTACATAGAATATATAAATTTTTAGAATATATAAATTTAGCTTTTGCATATAATTCTAGATCTGGGTATTGTTGCCTTCAAGTTTCCTAGCTAGCATCAGTATAGATTTCTTAGCAGATTTATTTTCGATTAAGTTGAGGCAATAATTTGGTCTCATGTTGGGTATTTGTAAGATTATGCGGTTAAGAAATACGGAATACATAAACATTTTGGGACCCATTTTAACGATTGTGGGCCTATTTTAGCGATTTGTGTACTCTAATGGACTCACCGATTTTTGGCCAGCTAAAATAGAATCGTGGAATGGTCGTTGTTTGGCGATCCATCCACGGGCTCGCACTTGCGGGCCTGCCTGTTTTATTTTTCAAAAACAAAAATGGCCCAATCCACAGCTGCCCAGAATTGGATTTAAGGAGCTAAATTAAATGGTAGAAATCACCTTTTTTTTTTTTTTTTTTGGCTTCTTTTTTTTTTCCTCTCAAAGAGCTGTCACAAATAGTGCATTAAAGGCTTTTTGGACAAATAATAAATCAAAAAAAGGAGGAGAAATTCATTTTTTTTTTTTTTTAATTTCATATCATACTATATTGTTTTAATTCATAATGGGTATTGTTTGTTTTATTTATTTTTATATTATAGCCGTTTGAAATATAGTCGTTCGTTGTTAGAAATATAGTTGTTGAAAAAAAAGTTAAGAAATTTATATATTAAAAAAAATAAAAAATAATAACAATATTAATATTTTTAGAGAGCAAAAATGCATAATTGGAACACATACGATAGCTAAAATTTGTATAGTCCAAAACCCTGATGTGGCTCTTGAAAGTAATGATGTGACTCTTGAAAAATGCTGGCATTGCAAATTTAGATTGCCAAAATTTGGAGATGTCATTGGAGTTGTTCTTACTTGGATATATATTGTTTTTACTTTTTGCAATGTGATCAATTTTTTGCCTTTTAAAATTCTAAATTGAATAGGAATTAAGAATTATAATTATTGTTAATATAATTATGTGGATATATTTTATTTTTACATTTTGTAGGAAACTTTTAGTGTTAGGGAATACATAGACACTTGAATTTTATAGTATAAATTACGTAGATATATATTGCTTTTACCTTTTGTAGGAATCTTTTAGTGTGATTAAGAAAAAGATATAGATATAAATCTATATAAATATAGATTTATGTCACATTATGATATAAATATATATATATATATATATATATATATAGTAAAAATATTTTGAAATAAGAAAAAGATATAGATATAGATAGATATAGATAGATCTAGATATACCATTTAAAAATTTTCTGTTAAATATTCTTTTTAATGTCATATTATGAATTCAGAAAAATAGTAAATATTTTATATATATTGCTTTTATTTTTTGTTGGAATCTTTTAGTGTGATTAAATTTGTGCCTTTTAAAATTCTAAATTGTATAGGAATTAACAATTACAATTATTATTATTATAATGATTGTATTTTTAAAAATATAAAATGTATTTTAAATGTCACATTATTATTTTAAAAAATAGTATAAATATTTAAAAACAAGGAAAAAATATTGATATAGATAGATAGATATAGATATAGCAAACTACAGATTTATGCCACATTATGATTTTAAAAAATATAGTAAAAATATTTATAAATAATAAAAAGATATAGATATAGATAGATATACCGTCTTTAAATTATCTGTTATGTATTCTTTCTAATGTCAAATTATGATTTTAAAAAAATAGTAAAATTGTTTGGAAAAAAAGTAAAAGCCTTACACTTTTATAATAATGTGTGTGTGTGTGTATATATATATATATGTATGTATTTTGTCAATGTGTATGTGAATTGCGTTATACTTGAAAAGAAAATTGACATTGCTATTTTAGGCAAGTTCTTAAGCATTTTTATTTTGGGTAAACCACGCTAACCTTCCCTATTGAATGTCTAAATAATAAGGACCTCCCTCTGATTTAAAAAATAACACTAAACCTCCCATATAATTCTGGTCAAAGTAACATTAATCGCCTCTCATAAATTCCAGTCAAAGTAACACCCATCACCCCCTATTACTATTATAAAATCTATTCCCATTGTCGATTGATGTCATGTTTAAAATTTACTTACCAAATTTACCCTTAGAAAACTTGAAAAAGACATTTTTGACCAAATATTGTAATGGTAATTGACAATAAAATTTCATTGGGTATAATTGTCATTTCACACCTTCAGTAATGACAAAGCAGATCAATTTTTAAAACTATAGGGAGAAGTTTCTATTATTCAGACATTCTACAGACGAGGTATGATTTGTAAATTAAAAACTTGGGAGAATCTCAAACTTTTTGGAAGTGTCAGTGTAATCTAAATTTTTTTAAAAAATATTAAAGAGTTAAAATCTTTAAAAATTACTAAAGAGTTACTCAAAAAATCTCAAGAGTTACTCAAAAAATCTCAAAAAAGAAAAAAAGTGTGTGACAAGAAAAACCAAATATATCAAGATTAGCAAAAAGACCAAGTTTGGCATTAAAATTAATAGTTCAATTAAATATGTACTTGTTTATAAGATTAAAGTTTTGGGGAATTCGATGATTTGGGAAAGGTTCTATAATTTCTTACTTCGAGGAATGGCTATAAAACTTAAGAAAAAGTTACCTATCCTAGAAAAGGTTTAACATGCACATAATATGTGATATCTTAAGTTTTATTAGGACTTTTAATTGTGCTTATAATGTTTCATTCAGTTCAATTAGTTGTAATCATGCTTAGTTGCTTTTAATCGTACTTAGTGAGTTTTAATCTTGCTTAGTGATTTTTTACTCATGATTAGTGGCTCTTAATCGTGTTTAATGACTTTTAATCTTACTTAGCTGATTAATTGTTACTCATTATGTTTCATTATGTTTTCTAATGGTTCTGTGGTGTATAATTGTTATTTATATAGAATTAGAGGAAAACTAATGAGAGGACCATTTCGTAGTTGTTTTTAGAGAGGGAGGATACTCAAATTTGTCAGGGTTATGATAGGTGGAAATCCAAGTGGCAATCCCACAACAGGTGTATTGTGTAATATTCCTAATTTTTAGAACATTTAATTTATAATTTTAATTGTTTTATTTGTTGGAAGATATATGCTTCATATGAAATTTAAAATATAACTAACCTTATATTAATATGCCACGAGATAATTAATAATATGCTAAAAATAAATAATTAATTATTCAACTCGATATTTAATTAAATATGCAAATTAAAGCAATAAAATAATAATAAATAAATAAAGAACCTGGACCGATACTAATATTGGATACTATATCCTTAAGATAATTTACGCCTTGCATGGTGTTGACAGACTCTGTGGTGCTTATTTCCCAGGATACAACGGTTTACATCCACTAATAGCAGCACTACAAACTTGTGAATATGGCAAAC